TCAAGGCTCGAAGACCTTATGGTCATGCTCGAGTATCCTTTGTTCAGGCTCGAGCCTGAAGGTGCAAGGCTCGAGCTTTGGATTCTGACTTCTTCCAAACTTCACTATTTAAGCTCTCAGCTTGCTTTGAATGACCGGTAATGATGCGGTAAACTTCATTATCATTCTTTTCATCATAAAAGCGCGGTTTTAACTGCTTCTTTAGGAAAGTACCTAAAAACACGAAATAAACATAAGCCAATATAAAACAGGATAGATATATCACTTTAGGTCTTAACATATGCATATTTAGGGGCTCGAATATGCAATATTCAGCGCTCATCACCTACATCTAAATTGAAGAAAAGCCCCAAATTCACCTCAAACCCTAGAATTTTGATATCCCCAAAATGGTGGCCAAATGGAGATTAACTCCGATCAAAACGTAGAACTCGTCGTGCTTTTCAATTTGCCGCAAACGGCATCAAAAATCTCTCAACGGTTTGAGAGAAATCAAGGTTTGAAATTGAAAAAGAAAAAGAAAAAGAAAAATTGAGAGAGAGATATAGAGCCAGCCGAGAGAGAGAGAATTGTGAGGACATTTGGTGGCCTTTTGACCCTTAAAAGAAAGAAAAAGTTGGTGAGTCCCACCAAAACATTTCTATGTATATTTTCCTTTTCTTTTTAACTTTATTTCCAACCACAATTTCATATATATGCTCATTTAATAATTCATAACTTCATATAACATACTAAATAAAATGCATAGGATGCAAATGAACCCAACTAAAATCCCCGTATACAACAATTCCTATAGCGGGTTCCACACGGAACCGTTTGGGCCGAAAAACTGAAAAATGTCAAAATGACAACCATTGCATTTCAAAGAGTCTTGAACTCACTGAAATGCCCCAACTAACTCTCGGACCCATCCAGCATACTCTACGGTGTCCAATATGCAAAACAAAAAAAGACGAAAGTGCCCTTGCATGAACGAAAAATTCCAAAAAAATGGAAAATGACAAAATTCAGAAATATTACATCATGTATATTTTAAGGTAGACTTTGGAAGAAAAGAAAAAGGATTATATTTTCTCTCTCTAGAATTTTAGGATTAGTGTTCTCATCTAATGGAAGTTCCCACAAGCCTAGTTTTCCAAGGTCATTCATAGAAGCTTATGAGTGATTCCTAAAGGCAAAACCATTACCAGGAAATTGGAGATCCAAAGAGAAGGCATATAGCAAAGGGATCTACAATCAGTGAGAACATTCACTTTAGAGGAGAGATCTAAGGTTTACTCAAACCTTGATGTAAATATTCAACCTATTAATTGAATGATACATCATATTTTATTTTTGCATAAAACTTGTCTCTATGTAATGAATCAAGATCTATGTATGAAAATCCCTCAGAAAGTTTTTAAAACTTGCACGTTTCCCAACAGTTATAATATAACCAAATGTCAAAACCCCACTCAGTCACTCATCATATATTTTTAGGCTACATCTATACACTCAGGAATTGCATATACTCTCCACTCTCTTCACAACACTCATCCTTAAACTCCTTAGGGCTAGTTTGGTACGGATGAATGAAATGAAGTAGGAATGGAATGAACCTGAGAATGGAATAGGAATGGAATAAGAATGGAATGCTCATTCACATTCTCTTGTTTGGTTATGGATGGGTTAAAAAGGAAAACTATTCTGCCAAATACATACTATACATACACATATATATATATATATACATACGTATATACATAAACAAATATTTTCTCTCTTTTCTTCTCTCTTTTCAATCTTCTAAACACCGCATAAATTTGGAAATTGACAAGAGAATATCAAGAAAAGTTGCCTTTTATTGGATCCTTCTCATTGAAATGGAAATTTACTCTTGTTTCTCAGTCAATAATACAATCTCAATGACATGCATCTCTCTCATCGATATATATTAGTGCTTCGTCGCCGATCGCCGTTAATGGATGCAAATAACCGATTGATTGGTTGTCGATCGACTTCAATGGATGCAAATCGCCGGCTGATATTAGATTGGTCGTCGACTTGAATGGCTAATTTTGGGCTGATTTCGGATTGGTTGTTGATCGCCTTCAATGGTTGATTTGGTCTTCGATATTGTTTAACATTGATCATTTTCAATGGCCTTTAAGCAAAGCGATTTTTAATATTATTTTTATTCCGTATTTTTTAAGTGGGAATGGAATGCCCATTCATCTCGTTGGAAAGTGTAATGGTTTTGATGGAATGACAATTCTCCAAGAATGGTGGGGAATGGGCATTCCATCTTTAAAATTACTTTCTAAACAAAAGAATGGAATTAAAGCATTCCATTCCACTTTATTTCATTCCATTATCACCTATGAAACTAGCCCTTACATCTTTTATCTTTTCTCTCTTTAAGCCTCTCACACCCATCTCTATTTATAGAGTCTTTAAACCCAGTTCCTTATTGGATAAGTATTCCCCAACTTACCTAAAAGGAGTTACTATATCAGTATTCAACTCTAAATAGTAATAATTTGGCTTTCACGTCCAACTAGTTCAACTTTTCTTGAACTGGTTCAATTGGAGTTACAATCATGTCCAACTAGTTCAAGAAAAAGTTGAACTGATTCCCAATGACTTGAATATGTTCATTTCTTCCCGAACACTACTTACACATCGAATTCGAGCCACGAAACCCAACACATTGTCACAAGAAGAAGGATGGAAAGATGCATCAAATTTCAGCTTGAGATAGCCATCCGATGGAGGTATCCATCTAACACGGGAAAAATCAGAATTCAAAAGCATTCTGTGTTCCTGGGAACATACTTCCTTGAGCTTCGCAAAACTGGCTAGGGATGAATTCAAGATATCCACAAAAGATGATCATTTCTGACCATTTGTTGTTCCTGCTTCTCTAAAGATTCCAACAGATATAGGATCCCTGGTTGAAGCAGTCTTGTGACGACTTAGACTTAGACCATAGATCCAAGAGATCCAACCATCGTTTTTGCCAAGGGATTTCAAGAGATCCAACTTTGTGAACTGAGATTAAGGGGAGAAGCACGCCATACTTGGACAAGAGAAAAGAACATGATCCACAGACTCATTTGTTTCTCTTCACATTGGAAACAAATTGTATCAAGCACATGCAAGACCTTTCTTCTTGAGGACTTGAAGAACCGGGAGTCTTTCATGGCAACTCTGCCATAAAAAAAGTGAACCTTCTTGAAGGATTTAACAACTTTTAAATTCCTGTTGCTTGGTGTGGAAGAAGAATGTTGGTCCACCTTAGGCTGCGGATGTAACACATCAACAACCACCTTATATGCACTTTTAACAGAGAACTTGCCATTTGAGTGTCAAAGCAAGGAATAAAACCTCTTGAACTTGAATTGAAAAAATCAGTTAGATCTCGGATTGGTCATCATGCTAAGGTTACTCGCAGACATAAAAATAATAATATAAGGTGTTCTTGATTGCTGGTTATAATTTTCTTTAGTTTTGATCTAGTAAATTATTATTGGAATTAGTTTAGTGTTTAATGTTTCATATAATGTAAATGCTTGGTATTAGTTTAGTGTTTAATGTTGGTTTTAATTTTTTTTTGTTTAATTTCTGTATGCATGCAGCTTATGAATATTTTTAGTTTTTAATTGGCATGTTTAATGTTAATATAACGAAAATGTGTTCTTTCTTTTAATACATATCATGAACAATATGCATTGCTAATGCAGATATTCTTAATTGATAGACAATAAAGAGGAGTCTTCACCCAATTATATATATATAATGTTATTTGTTTGTTTAGTGTTCAATTTTTATACGATGAACAGTTAATTATTTTAATTAATGTCATGGATAATGAGCAAACCTGCAGACTTTCTTGAGAGAGAGAGAGAGGAGTGTGGTAATGATAGCATAAATGTTAATTGGTTTTTTTTTTTTTTTTTTTTTTTTTTTTTAACAAGGAACTCACACACCCATTTTAGTTGATAATAGTTTACTTTTTAATTTTTATATAATAAAATTGTTCATTCCTTCAAAATAAATTACATATTGAATCATACAGAAAATAACTTAAATTTATATATATATATATATAATCATGTGTCTCCTGTGATCTCTCTGGTTGATTCAGGAGAATCACCGTGGACACATAAGCTATGGTCACAAATCAATCACCATTGGAAATATAAGTACTTGTGTCGAAAATGTAGACAATTGGACAAGTAAGCTATTGTGTGACTTGTGTCTGAAACGTATTTGCTTTACTTAGCCTGTTTTTTTTTTTTTTTTTTTTTTTTTTTTTGTAACTTGCGTGTCCAATGGTAATTTATTGGAACGAATGACAAACGTTAGGACCATCTAAAAATTTATCCCTTCCATCAAACTTTCATTTTTTTTTTTGAATTATTATTTTTTTATATATTTTTATAAACCTTGGTAAGAAAATCACATACCCCCACTATCATAACTTGAACCTTGAAAGATGAGGAAGTATCACCAGCTACACTTCAACAATTGATTCGAACTCTTCCAAATGCTGGAAAAAGGACTTGCATTGTGTCGAATCCGATGGAAATTGAGCAATAATTGATTTGAACTCTTCTGAACGCTGCAAAAAGGCTCCATGTTGTGTCGAAAATTGAGCAATTTCTTTAAGTATAGCAGGGTCTTGCACCAATTGACTTTCACTCTTTGGAGATGTATGAAAAGTTAAATAAGTTATTTAATAAACCAATTAACTTTTCACTCTTTTGAAATGTAGAAAAGTCAAATGAGTTATTTAATAAACCTTTCGATCATTGCTTGAGAAGGAGAGCTCACATGACTCTCCTCTCCTTATAGCATTACTCTCAAAAAAATCAAACTCAAAAGAATTTGTATTTCATTGCTTCAGACATTAACAAGAGAGCCTTCTTAGCAACTGAAAGTAACCTCATTTGATAGAGAGAAGAAACCATAAAAGAAATACCCGCTCGGAGTGCTCGGCACCCTATTAGGCCACTGAGTAATGCCCAAAATGATATCTCACGAAATGTGATTTTGATATTGTATTCAAGTGATATTGTATTCATGTGATAATAATCTTCCGTCATTGTTCGAATCTTCTCTTTTAGTTTCAATACAAATTTCTAACATGAAAAAAAGTACTAATGATACAAACAGAGGATGGAGGAGAAACCATTTGGGCTGAGCCCTCAGTTGTGTCAATATACAGTCATACTCATTCACTATGATACAAATGATGATGATACATACCACTGACTATACATTTAGAACAAACAAATTTGACTGCCCTAACAAACTTCTGAAATTTCGCTGCGCATATCAACTTGTGTTGGAGTGAACCACTTATTTGTTAATCTAGACGACGAAATCGAATCAATAAGATCTTGAATTCTTCGTCGAAAATTCGAACCAGTAGCTAATTATATCACTCGGACTGCTCTTTCTTGTTGCGTTTGGATGCCTCCGAACTGTAGAGTCGAGTTAAAAAATGATCTCCTGCTTTACCTTGTGAACTGGATACCACCTGGAGTGCTCTCTCATTTCATTTTCATTTTCATTTTGATGCCTCTAAACTAATCACTAATGCCACTGGATTGCTCAGTTGGAAATGATTCAACTATCTCTGGGACTCGATCTAACAAGCGATTCATCTCGTCTGGAAATTCAAACTTGGCTCTGTTCGTCTTTCCGCCAACAACAACTGCTGTTCCATCTTGCAAGGCCCATACCTTTCAGAAGACAGAAAATACATAAACACATGGAAATCATCGTCATCATCTTTGCATTTATTCCATATGAATGAAGTAGGCTACATGAATTTTATTGTTTTATTTTCCCTATTACAAGTCATGTCTCCTATTACACTTAATTATAGATAAATACATGGAAATGATATATCAAATACATCATTTGAGAAATGGCAGTTAGAACAGAATTAACAGTAGGACACCTTGGCACCGTTTTTTTTCCTAGTCATGATTATAATTTACGGGAGAAAAAGATCACCTTTACTACCACTAATTATAAGAGCGAAGTTCATTATATTCATCAATAAAGAACATTCCTTTTCTTTCAAATCAAACATTAACTAATATGTAGCTCAAGTGAAAATTAGGAACTATCATTAAAGCGCCATCGTTGTGAGAAATAACAAAGGCCAATGCGGTCTGAACTAAATATAACATAGTCTTAACCCAGATCAAGAGTATCTGTAGCTTCAAATTCAAACACATACAACAGCAAAATCCTACCCTAAATGCAGAAATTTTACCTGTGCATGTGATAGAAAACTAATGGAAGTCGTAAGCATCAGAGCACCAAAGCCAGCATAAACAACTGGCACCCCCGGGTCAGTCTGAGAGCAACAAACAAACTTAGTTCCATCAGAAATGATAAAGTCAAGAAACAGAAGGGAAGAATGACATTTACTTAAAAAGAATTGAATTTTGTTTTCAATTGAAAACCTTGAACATCACCTTCAAGTTAAGGCCACTACTACCAATTGCATCTACAATAACAATTTTTGTGCCATCAATTTCGATAGGGAGCTTAGAGTTAGGCCGGCGGACTCCAGCGAATTTCCCTTCCGGATCATAAAGGACTATCGATTGCAGATCACGAGCAAGCATTGATCTAAATTTTTAATAAGAGAAGGATGAAAATAGAGAATTAGGGGAAATTGACTAAAATGGCAGACTGTCAGAAAAGTATTGGCCTCTAACAAGCCCCTCACAAAATTTTCATGAATTTTCTTTTTTACCCAACATGACCTGATTTCAGCTTGAGACACAATTTCAACAAAAAATACTTCCTATGAAAAGCTGAATATGTATGCTAAAACTCGTCAAAATGCTAAAAGTCAAACCAAAAGAGCAGAGCATACACCAGAAAATTTTCCACCTAAATATTTTTTTCATGTCCATTATGATGCTCAGTTATATAAATATAAATATTTATACAATCTTAACAACTCTTATAGTAAAAAAAAAAAAAAAAAAAAAAAGCTGAAAATACAAATTGCATTGGTAGAAAGAGTGTGGCAGAGGATGTATATTTAAGAATAGTTTTACAGGCTCCCAAGTCCCAGGAGACCAGAATTTCCTAACTCTACCTTCATCAATTCTAAAGGGAAAATAAAAAAATAAGTGACTAAACCTCCACAACCAGTTGAGAAAATTATATAGATATATAGATATGATATAGTAATAAAAGATACATACATTCCCTTCACATTCGGAGAATCAGTGTCTCCAACTGGTAGAAAAGTCCCATAGAGTTTCTTGTCTCCATTGATTTGTAGAGGTGCCATTGCCAAATTGAAAGGCCCTTCATCATCCTTAAGTATTTGTAGAGCTGAAAAACTCCAATCTGTCTGGTATATGGTAAACCCACCATACCTTAATGGATCATTCACGCTTATTGTCTTTCTCATCACCTCTTTCCCATTGATGTCAAGGAGAGAAAGATCAGTGCGAAACTGCCGAACCTATAAGAATAGTGAGGAAAATAAAATAAAAAATCAGCTTATTTTCTTTCTCATTACCTCCTTTCCATTGAGGTCAAAGAGCATGCAATCGGTGTGAAACCGTTTAACTTATAACATAAGTGAAAAAAAAAAAAAATTCAAATATTTAGCAGCTTGTGAGCAAACAAAACTAAGCAATGGCATTAAATAGAGCGGAATGGAAACATAGGATTCATGTAGCCGACCCCAAGTAGTTTGGAAAAAATACTTGGTTGTTGATGTTGTGAGCAAACAAAATGATAGGGGCATGTCACCAACACGGAGCATATAGAAAGAGTATCAAATAATTAAGAAGGCTAATAATGTCTCTCATGCTAGGATGCAAGAACCTCTCAGTTTTTCTTTTTCCACAGGTGAAGAAGGTCTTAATTACAGTCAATCAAATTAAAGAATTTTGAGATCCACAGTTTCACATTATAAAATTTGGAGCTTAAGGGAAAAAAAATTCAGGGAATTCTTTAATGCATTGAGTGTGTGTGTGTGTGTGTGTGTGTGTGTGAGAGAGAGAGAGAGAGAGAGAGACAGAATGCCTCTCAGTGTAAGGTGCTCCTATTAACGCCTACTTACCTCTCCACTGTCATAGTAGTCCATGTAGAATCTGTTGACATGAATCTCAGTATTGAAAGCTTCTGTAGGAGTAGAGAGAAACCCACTTGGTCCCAACACATCTCCAACAACGAAGTTTAGACCCTGCGGAACTGTGACTGAACCTCTGAAACTCCCAGTAGCACTAAGAGTTCCACCTACCATTATCAGCAACATTGCTAAATGCACTCCAATTGGAGCAAATCGACCAGCTAGCCCCTTGAAGGCATATAAAGATGGTCCTTTCAAGAAAACCTATAGAAACACAAATCGAGAAACTGTAACTAAAGGAAAAAAGTTTAAAAGCAATCAATAAACTGAAAGATGATGAATGACTATAATGCAGAATTTTCTATCTGCAGAAATGTCAAGATAGATGTCACAGATCCAACACGGAAAGGAGATGGCTCATTATTGTTCCATTTTGTTTCTTAACTTGGCATTTGCAAAAGAATTCTCCGAATGACAAAATAAAATTTGAATGAGACCAATATTTTTTTTACCAAGTGTCCATGCACTCACTCTTAACAGCTAGACCATACAAATGAATGTGTAGCAAGAAAGGAGGGCCGACTAACTCTCTGTTGAAATAATATCTTAAACCTTGAGTTGGAAAGGCCTTTCCAAAGGCTGATAGGTCCAAAGGGTTAGAATATAGGTTTTATTATAATGCTTTATTCTGTTATTAGATCAAGTATAATACAGGGCCAATTTGGGGATTTTATGTGATTAGCTTTCATCACTGAAAACAAAGGATGGCTATGGTTTGTGTCTTGAAGCAGCCACATTGTAACCACCTTAATCATAATATCTGTAATGTTTATGAATCATATATTTGGTTAAGTTAATCCATAGGGTTATGCCACTTAGATACCAATGGCATTGAAGTTGTCAATGAGGATTGAAGACCGAATCCGTCAACAAAAATCACAAAAGTGAGGAAAGGGAAGTGACCTAGAAAACAAAAGGTTAACATTGATTAATTAATAATGTAGGTGCCTTAGAAATTTCCTAATTAATCTTGTGAGATCTGAAATGCTTAAATCTGGTTTAAAATTAGTTAGGAAATATGGAACTAATTTGAGTTCAATAAGGAAGTTGACTTCGATCAATAATGGAATGTGTTCTACACTTTTTCAAGTGGAAAAAAAAAAAAGGAACAAATCTTTCTGAATCAGACTCCAACACCTTATAAAAGATCTTGAGTATGCCATCGAAACAAAAACTACTATCTGAAATTGATCTTCTGCCTTTCTATAGCCACTTAAAATTATCTACTTAGAATCTAGCAATGAGATCTATATCTTATAAGTTGTACTCATTATTTTATCAATGATAGATAATTCACATAATTTTGTATTTGTTTGACCCATCAATTAAGCCCCTAAAGTCAGACCATTTACGTTCAATGATTGAGCATTGATTTTTACTTTTCCCTAATTTGAGCATCGATATATTAGCATCTAGAGATTTGTGTACTGATGCCCAAAGCTCATGTGCCAATACAAGCATCACACTGAGTGATGACTGATGCTCAAGGACCATGTACCGATGAGCACTTGCCTTGGAGTGAGATATATGTCATCTACAAGCCGGCTGGCCTAATTCCGAGGAAATTCATTCAAACAAGAAAAAGAATTTCAAATAGATTTCTAATTATTCTAAGACTGTCTAAATGGTTCTAAGGGTCTTTTAAACACATAAAACAAAGAAGAATTCATGAAAAAATATGAAAATAAAAGAGAATACTTGAGAATGAGATTGATAGCATTCTTTTTTTTTTCTTAGTTGATACTCACACACACATGTCTCCACTGAGACTCGAACACCTGACCTCTTTTTGAGAAGTAGGAGTCCGGTACCGCTAGGCTACTGGCCTGTTGGTATTGAGAGCATTCTTTATGGGTATTTGAGAGAACATCATGGGATTTGCAACTCCATACATCTTTTGTGTGGTTGTTCTCCATGGAAATTTAGTGAAGACTTGAAAAAAATTAAATATAATATATTTATGTCAAAATTGAAGAGAGAAATAGAAAATGAAGAACACAAGGATATACGTGGTTCAGCCACCATAGCTTACCTCCACAGCACACAAAGCCCAAAGGGCTACATATCTTTATTATACCCTCTTGATTTTTGTATACAATGATCACCTCTTTATATAGGTGAAATGAGAAAGACTTGTAGCTAGAGAATAGGAAATACTTGCTCTACAAGTATTTTATAATAAAGGAATTACACAAAAAATGAAATACAAATATGGCAACAAGTCTCATAGCAATATTGTGCGAAGGAGTAATTTAAGTAAGGGTTCCCATAATAATATTCTCCAACACTTTCCAGCTAGAATTATTATTGTGTATACGTATGTTGGTTGACATGGAGTAGGCTGGTTCGCTAATGGTCACTATTGAAGAAAGTGGATCACGGTGGAGTGATTGTGTTGATATCAAAATATGGAGCACCGGCTGATGAGAATGTTGTCATCCGAGATAAATCAATGCCTTGTGGTAAATTGATCTTGTACTTTTTCTGTGCATAGTAGATAGTTAGTTCGAAACTTGGTCTTCTGGTTTTCCCATGTTGGGGTTTTTTGTGAAATTTGGTGTATCATAGTTAGCTTTATTTGATGGTTAGCATAATTATTAGCCTATAAATTGATATTAATTAAGTTATAAATTGATTAACAAATTTGTTAAAATTGGAATCAAGAAGAAAGTGATCAGGGTTTGATTAGGAAATGTTCAACCCCCTCTGACCCTTTTTCGCTTCAGCAGTGCACTGCTTTCACTTAAAACTTGTTGTCTAGGATACTATTTCTTTCAATGAAAGTTTTACAGTGACTTTGTACGTGGAGGTAGGCTTCAAGTCGAACTGTGTAACTTATTGTGTATATTATCAGAGGAGGTGATCTACATACCAAAATTAGATGATTTGATGAGTTGTAAGATAACTTATAATTAGGGATTTCATTCCAATTTAGATGATTTACAGATTGCTTGTAGTTAGGAATATTACTTGTGGATACCAAATCTTGGGATATGATTGTGGTAAGCATTCCTTGTATAGTAAATATTATTCTATAAAGAAAGTCTCCCGAAGGGAAAGGGATAGAAGTTTTCTCCAAAAATCTCTTTGTTCTCTTCGTATTGTCATGGTATCAGAGCCCAACTTGATACAAGAGACGTTCTCAGTTTTTTTTTATAAGATACATCACAGTTTTTTGTTAAAAACTATGCTGTCTTGTTTCTAAGGAGTTGCAGCAACAATCTTGGTTAGAGTTGCAGTCAAGAATTGCTGTTAGCATCATCTCAGGTTCTCATTCATCTTTTCTCTTTCGTTTGAGTCTCTTTTGAAGTTTTTTTTTTTAGAATGTCAAAAAAGTCAGAAATCTTGCCCATTAAATTGAATGGGAAGAATTATTTTTCTTGGGAGTTTCAATTCCGTATGTTTGTTAAAGGGAAAGAATTGTGGGGACATGTAGATGGATCAATCCCAGAACCAAAAGCTGGGACTGAAAAATGATAGCATCGCTAAATGGGAGTCTAATGATGCAAAGATAATTAGTTGGATTTTAAGCTCAGTAGATTATAATATTGTACTCAATTTGCGGCCTTATTCCAATGCTAAAGATATGTGGGGTTATCTAAAAAAGGTTTATAATCAAGAAAATTCTGGGAGGCGTTTTCAGCTTGAATTGGACATATCTGAATATTCCCAAGGGAATATGTCAATTCAAGACTATTATTCTGGCTTCATGAATCTTTGGGCTGAATACAAGCAACTAATTTATGCTAGTGTCCCAAGTGAGGGGCTACCATCTCTTCAAAAAGTGCATGAAATTACTCAAAGAGATCAGTTTCTTATGAAATTGAGACGTGATTTTGAATCTATTCGCTCAAATCTGATGGCTAGAGATCCTTCTCCATCATTGGATATGTGCTTTGGTGAACTTCTCCGAGAAGAACAACGTTGTTTGACTCAAGCTACAATTGAACAAAAGGGTGTTGGCACTAATCCACTGGATGTAGCTTATGCAGCTCAGGCTAAAGGAAGGGATTTGTCCAAAATACAATGTTATAGCTGTAAGGAATATGGGCATATAGCCAATCAGTGTAAGAAAAATTTCTGCAACTACTGTAAGAAGTCTGGACATTTGATTGTTGATTGCCGTAAGCGACCTCAAAATCAATCATCCCAGGCTTTCAATGCTACCACCGCAGTGGGTTCTCCCTCTGCTGCTACGACCATGCAGCATTCTCAAGCTTTTACTGCTTCTAGTTCCATAACTCCAGAGGTAGTGCAACAAATGATTCATTCTGCATTTTCTGCTCTTGGTCTCACAGGTAAACCTTCCTCCTCATCTATTTGGTATGTTGATTCTGGTGCTTCCAATCACATGACCTCTTCCTCAACACATCTCACTAATGTGAAACCATATGTGGGAAATGTGAAAATTCATACTGCTAATGGGGAACATCTTCCCATTAAGTCAGTTGGTGATATCCCTCATTCGTTGCAATTACATAATGTTTATCATACACCACGTTTGACCTCTAATCTTATATCTGTCAGTCAATTGGTTGATAATAACTGTAAAGTTTCATTTTCTACATCTGGATGTATTGTGCAGGATCAGGAGTCGGGGAAAGTGATCGGGAAGGGACCTAAATGTGGAAGGCTGTTTCCTCTAAGCTTGTTTAGTTATCCCAGAAATAAATCTTTATTTTCGTTATTTCGTCCTTCTTCTAGTACGTCATATCAGATGTGGCATAAACGATTGGGGCATCCTAATGCCAAAAGATTGTTGTTCTTGTTGAAATCTGGTTTGTTTTTCTAATAAAAACCCTGTTTCTTTCACTGATGTCTCATTTGATTGTAGTAGTTGTAAATTGGGTAAAAGTAAGACTCTTCCTTTTTCCAATTCATGGTGACATTACTACAAAATGCTTCGATTTGATTCATACTGATGTTTGGGGGGATGCTCCATTTCCCTCTCATTCTCGTCACAAATATTTTGTTTCCTTCATCGACGATTATAGTCGACACACATGGATTTATTTTTTGCATTCTAAATCTGGAGTTTTTGATGCCTTTAAGCGTGTTTTTTGGCTTACCTAAAAAATCAATTTTCCACATCCATCAAAATTCTTCGTTCCAATTCTGGAGGTGAATATATGAAAAATGAATTTCAAAATTATCTTCAACATGAAGGAATCATTTCCCAGCGAACTTGTCCATCTACTCCTCAACAAAATGGAGTAGCCGAGAGGAAAAATAGGCATCTTTTGGATGTTACTCGGACCCTACTTCTTGATGCATCAGTACCCTCTCATTTTTTGGTGGAAGCACTTTCCACAACTGCGCATCTTATCAATAGATTGCCTTCTCCAAAGCTTCAACATCAATCTCCATATTTTCACTTGCATCAAGCTAATCCCAATTATAACCAATTGCGTGTTTTTGGTTGTGTTTGTTATGTCCATCTACCTGCACAAGATCGAAACAAATTATCTGCACAATCTGCTCGTTGTGCATTTCTTGGGTATGCATCTCATCAAAAAGGTTTTTTGTGTTATGATCCTTCTGTCCATCGCATTCGTGCCTCTCGTAATGTTGTCTTTGTTGAAAAACAGTATTTCTTTCAAAATACTCATGTCCCTTCTCCTCCGTCCTCCTTTTCTTATCTTCATGACTTTAGTAGTATCTCAATTATAACCAATTGCGTGTTTTTGGTTGTGTTTGTTATGTCCATCTACCTGCACAAGATCGAAACAAATTATCTGCACAATCTGCTCGTTGTGCATTTCTTGGGTATGCATCTCATCAAAAAGGTTTTTTGTGTTATGATCCTTCTGTCCATCGCATTCGTGCCTCTCGTAATGTTGTCTTTGTTGAAAAACAGTATTTCTTTCAAAATACTCATGTCCCTTCTCCTCCGTCCTCCTTTTCTTATCTTCATGACTTTAGTAGTAATAATCCTTCTGTTTTCACAAGGTTTAAACCTGGGCTGGTTTATAAGCGACGAGGTAAAACAACAATTGGTGCAGAAGAAGGTCCTAACCGTGACTCCTCTCCATCTCCTGATCCAAGTCCACAACCGCCTCCTCTTCGAAGATCCACTCGCCAAATCAAACCTCCTGATCACCTAATTCTTATGACTACTCTGTCATCAAAATCTATTCCCAACTCATATTCACAGGCCATACAACATTTATGTTGTAAACAAGCTATGAAGGAAGAATTGGAAGCTTTAGAGAGGAATCATACTTGGGATATTGTTCCTTGTCCTCTTGGTCACAAACCAATTGGTTGCAAATGGATTTTCTCTGTTAAACTTAGATCTGATGGCTCCTTCGATCGATATAAAGCTTGTTTGGTCGCTCTCGGGAATTGGCAAGAGTATGGGATTAATTATGAAGAGACTTTTGCTCCTGTGGCAAAAATGACAACTGTTCGTACAGTGCTTGCTATTGCAGCTTCTCAATCTTGGCCTCTTTTTCAAATGGATGTAAAAAACACCTTCTTACATGGTGATCTAAACGAAGAAATCTATATGAGACTTCCCCCTGGTGTCACAAGCAATTCTGCATCAGATGTGTGTCATCTACGACGCTCTCTTTATGGCCTGAAACAAGCGCCACGAGCCTGGTTTGAAAAGTTTGGTAGCACTATTTGTCAATTTGGCTTTAATCAGAGTACCGCTGATCCTTCTATGTTTCTTCGTCGTCGTGAAACTGGTATCACCATTCTCCTTGTATATGTGGACGACATCATCATCACTGGTACAGATACAATAGGCATTCAACAACTACAGGCTTCTTTACACTCTTCTTTACACATGAAGGATCTTGGAAACCTCACGTATTTCCTAGGCCTTGAAGTGCATCAATCAGGTAATGGAATTTTTATTAATCAGCACAAATATGCCAAAGATCTTATTGCTTTGGCTGGACTCGAGAACTCGACTCCAGTAGCTACTACACTTGAAATTAATGTCAAGTATAAAAAAGATGAAGGCCAACTACTCTCTGATCCTACGACATATAGGCAACTATTTGGGAGCTTGGTTTATTTGACAATCACAAGACCAAATATTTCTTATGCAATTAATTTGATGAGTCAGTTTATGCACCAACCTCGACATCTTCATCTTGCAGCTGTCAAACGGATCATTCGCTATTTACTCGGCACTCCAGAGCGTGGGTTATTTTATAAAGTTGGTTCATCTCTCCAACTTACAGCTTATACTGATGCTGACTGGGCAGGTTGTCCTGATTCTCGTCGATCTACAACGGGGTGGTGCATGCATCTCAATGGCTCCCTTGTGTCATGGAAATGCAAGAAACAAGAACGAGTTTCAAAATCTTCTACTGAGGTAGAATATCGAGCCATGTCTTCTGCCTGTTCTGAAATCGTTTGGCTTCGTCATCTTCTATCTGAATTAGGTTTCCCTGAATTAAATCCTACTTCTCTACATGCTGATAACACAAGTGCCATCCGGATTACAGAAAATCCAGTATTTCATGAACGGACTAAACACATAGAGGTCAATTGTCACTACATTCGGGAAGCCTATGTTAATCATCTCATTACTTTGCCTCATGTGTCAACAAATTTCCAAACTGCAGATATTTTCACTAAAGCCTTAACTAAGACTCGTCACCAGTTCTTAGTTGACAAATTGATGCTTGTGGATTCACCAACATCAATTTGAGGGGGGTATCAGAGGAGGTGATCTACACACCAAAATTAGATGATTTGATGAGTTGTAAGATAACTTATAATTAGGGATTTAATTCCAATTTAGATGATTTACGGATTGCTTTTAGTTAGGAATATTATTTGTGGATACCAAATCTTGGGATATGATTGTGGTAAGCATTCCTTGTACAGTAAATATTATTATATAAAGAAAGTCACCCGAAGGGAAAGGGATAGAAGTTTTCTCCAGAAATCTCTTTGTTCTCTTCATATTGTCATATTGTGTGTACTAACTAAATTTTTACATATTCCTTCGTGCATTTTGAAATAAATTGTAGACCAGCCATGACACTCTTGACACATCTTTAAAAGATTCTGTATTTTAATTGAACAGGTGAATACAATTTAAAAGGCTTAAAATTATGAAGCACTAGTAAATGAAAGCCTACCCATTTAAATAAAAAATATCTCATGTACCATAGATACAAACATATGAAAAACATCAACTACTATCAACCCACCAAAAGCCTTATCAGCACTGATAAAAGGAAAAAAGAGAAGGCAGAAAAAGTCAAACATCATACCTCGTACCCAGATCCCATCAAAATGACACCCAAATCTTGAATTGATGCGCTGAGCAGAGTGTCAGAAAATTCCTGCTTACGAATGGCCTCGGCCGAGTGTAAGAAAGACCATCTGCAGAAACAGATTATTTATGTCAACTACAAGCTTCTCCTGCTTACTCCCACTTGAAACGACATGAGTTGGCAGAAGGGAAAAAAAAAGACCGACCTTCTTGCTACCTTAACCAGAGGAATCTGCGTCGTGTATGTGCAAGCCATGAGGGATGCTGCCAAAAGAGTCAACAATCCAAGGAATATGGGAGATGAGAACATGTGGTCAAAGCCAAGGGTTAGAACCCATCTCCATGTAAAGAATCCCAGGACAGGATTATCTTCAGGGAATTTTTGAAAATAGAAATCCGGAGTTTCGCCTTGATCAATGAGAGTTCCTGCATGGCCATTATACGTACAAGGCTAGTCTCAAATGATAATGCATCTGGGCACAAGGTTGAAAGATTAAGACTACAAATGTATATAAAATGAGTCTGAGACAGAACTAATGGTTAGTTCTGAGAAGTGCATAACCATTAGCCAAGGCTCCTAGTATTCCTACTATTGATCTAATTCAATTTACCAAATATCAAGCAGTCAAACAGTGTCATAACATAAAAGTAAATAGAGAGAGAAAGAAGAATTACCAAGAATTTTACGTGGAAAACCCTAAACAGAAAAAATGTACTATACCTGATCCAGCCATGAACAATCCGCCATTAGAGAAAGAGGTTACAAACTAAGTTCCAGACTCAAATATCACGAATTCCTTAGTCCCTCCTGACTCAAATTTACACAAGACTAATACCAGTTTTTTCAGTTGCTAATCTATCGACAGACTGCCTAACTTCACGAACTCTGTTTCTCCACGAGTTGTTCAATCTATCTGCTCTTGATCTGTTTTCTTTTTTTTTTTCTTTTTTTTCTTTTTTAAATGGCAAGAAGCACACACACCAATCACACACCCACTTTGCCCCTTTGAGGGGTCTCGGACCCTCACCATCCACTTTGATCGACCGCCTATCAATCAAAGCTAACTAGAGAGCCCTCAATCAATAGACTTATGGATCGGCACATCCTTTTTTTTTTTTTTTTTTTTTTTTTTTTTTTTTTTTTTTTACCGTAAAACTTAATTTTGAAAAGTTTTCAGGCATCCTCAATTTAGAAACTAAACTTTGAAAAACATGTTTAGAAAATTATTTTGAGCCGAGCAAAGATCAAATCTAGGTCAACCTAACCAGTCTACCTTCGTCTCAGTGTCTAGGTTAACTTAACCAGACTACCTCTGTCTCGGTGGCTTGGGACTTGATGTCTTCCATGGTTGTAAATGAGTAACTCAAGACACTAGCTAACAACACCCAAAGTTTTGAGGCAGAAAATGCCAACACATGACTCATATTCCTAACACATTCAAAACAATTAAATTGGTTTCAACTGTTTATGCAAACTTCAAGGTTCTGCAATTATTTGTGAAAATGAATAATGACTTGACAATACTTTAGTGTATTAAACTCTTGTATCGTGGAAAAATTGAATCTACTCTGGAGTCTCTAAGTAGTGTAGCAACCCTGATGAAGACAAAAGTAATTAGGTTTTCCATTTGCTGCATGATAGTGGAGAATGATAGGAAAAGAAACAAAATTCTATAAATTTATAACAGGGTGGAAAAAAGTAGCAGTTCCTCGATACTAAGACCTTTCGCTGCAAAAATTCTTGGTAATCCCATAATGTGGATGGATTTAACATCCAGCAACACAGAAATAACAGCAGATGGCACCATTTTGGTCAATATTTCTTCATGCAAGGTAAAGTGATAAAACCATAGTTTTACCCTTTCTTTAATTTTTTTGATCCAAATTGGGGTGGTGAGACTATTCCAAATTTAAATGTCATAAAACACCACACATGGCACTGATTTAGAGAAAAAAAGGGTTGGGGGGGGTGAACTACTCAGAAAGAGGGGAGAACCAAAATCCTTGCCTGAGATGATATCGTATTTGATCCAAAACTAAATTTTTGCCAAAAATCATTCAGCATTGAAAGCCATGAACAAATAACAATTCGCTCAGGTTCCTGCAAGAAGACTGGTAGAGAAATATACACTTGTTTCACACAAAACCTAATGCAGTTCTCCATTTTCCAATGCTCAAACAATTGGTATAATACAGGCTTTGTTGATTGAATCCCATTTTCTCCCTTTAGTTAAAACATGAAATTTTCACAAACTGGAATTAGAAATGAAGCAAAATTAGTTCAAAATTTGCACTAAGATGATCCACAATTCGCATTCCAAGCCGTGAATTCCATGCTGCCAAACGTGGCATCAAGGTTCTCTATTATTACATCTTCTCATCAATGGAAATGGACTACATGGTCCCATTTTGCAATTAAAAGAATACATATGCCATGACGAATACGCAAGTCCAGTCCTTATATGCATCCTATTCATGAAGGAATAATAATAAGAGTAAGACTATCAAGAGAGCTCCCTCATTTCATGAGCTCTCAGATTTAACCACTGGATTGAGATAGTTTTTCTCTTACAGCAGTACTCTAATAATAATAATAATAATAATATTTAAATAGAGTAATAGACCAAAACTTAACTCAACTGAAAATTTAAAAATTGTAGTTGTCAATTTTCTAAAAATTATTTTATAAAGATTCAATTCAAAAAGGGGTTAAAGACAATCACCAAACCTGTTGTTTGCTCTAATTACACATTGATTTGGGAAAGAGTAGATTAACTAGAAACTGATTACACGGCATTTGGGCTTCTTTATATATCAACTAAAAACACTCCAATCGAAACAAAATAGTCATAGAAATATATATATATATATATATATATATGTAGAGAGATAAATATAGGGAAAGAGAGGCAGCAGGAGGAGGTTTTAAAGAGGAAGAAGCATACCCACGGCCATTAAAGCAGCAATGGTGAACATTTCCGCAATAGCCAAAGGCAAATTAGACAGAATAGACAAAACCTTTCTGGGCAACCTCTTCAACAACAAACCCCCCATACTGATACTACTACTGCCGCCGGATGGATTCCTCTCGGACTTTGGCGCCAACCCATTTTCAGCGTCCTCAGAAAGCAACGGTGCTTCCTCAGAGGCTACAATTTTAGTACTATTGTTATTGTTGCTGCTTTTCTTTTGAGAGGTTTTCAGCTTACAAGTAACAGTGAATAATTTTGATGGAATTCTAGACTTGGAGTAGCAGAGACTGTAAATTTGGAATTTGTATGGGAACAGAGAAGAATTCAGGAATTGGGTTTGGAGTTGGGATGGTTTTAGAGTTCTGATTGTTAAGTTCAGACTCAGTGTCTCCATTAATGGAGATTTGTGGCAACACACTCTCTCTCTCTCTCTTCTCTCTAGACTCGAGGCCAAAGGTTAACGGCAGTGCTGGTTAGTTTTATCTAGAAAAGCGCAGAGATATTTCATAACATCACTTAGCCACGTAGTACTTTAGCATTGGGAACCCACAAACCATGGGATCATCACCAATATGCTAATTAAAAAAAAAATTGGATAAAGCACAGCAACATCCTTAAAAATTACCAATAGGACACTCATATTAAAATTATCTATTTTTAAAACATTGACACTACTTTAAAGAAATTACATCCAAATAAGTCCTTAAATCATTTGAAAAAGATAAAATTATTCCTTAATATTAAATTCAGATTTATTACAAAATATCAAATCTATCAAAATGACATAATTGCCCCTGAATGTTTAGCACCACAAATTAGCACCACTTGGCACCAGATTAACAACTCGTGAATTGCCTTAATCTTCTAACATCGAGAACCACTGTACCACGTACCGTCTGCCCCTCTCTCTCTCTCTCTCTCTCTCTCTTCTAATCTTTCATTTATTCTCTTCATATCACCATTTCTACCTCTCTGAAACCCTAAGTTTGTCACCATGATCTTTTCGAAACCCTAGTTCTGGACCAACCGGTGTTCGGCTAATTTGGTTGTTCTGCTCCGATTTACTGATTTCGCGATCTCTTCAAGACCAACCAGTGTTCGATTGATGCTCCGATTTGCTGATTTCGCAATCTCGTCAAGACTAACCAGTGTTCGGCTGATTTGGTTGTTCTGGTCTGAGTGTTTGGTGTTTGCAATCTCATCAATACAATCACCACACGTGCTTGCTTTTATTCAAGAGGACCTTTCCCGTAAGTCTAATCTCGTCATTTTTCCTCAAAATTTTGTTCTTGTATTCTTTACTAATATGTGGTTTTTTTTTTTTTTTTACCAAAATTTTGTTATTTTGAGAAATTGTGGTAGAATGAAATTAATTTTATTTTTTAACAAATGAGGGGTTATCAATTTTGTTATTACCCTAAAAACATAATGGAAAATAATTAAATAACTAAAATAGTGAATCCAGTCTGGGCTAAGCAGCGAAGTAACACCTAGTAGCAACAATTAGCTATTGAAAGACATTATTCAAAGGTTAGATAACCCATTCATAATCTCTCACAATTTTTTTAAGGCAAAATTGAACAACATTGACAGATATAAGTAGCACCCATTGACACCCTTCTAGATTGGTCAAACTTTCTTCTTTTTGTAAGAAATTGAAAATTTATTACACCAAAAGAAATATGCAGAATGAAAACAAATGAGTTTTTGTATTTTTTTTTTACCAAAAATTTTGTTATTAATTCACACATGCTATAAGATGGCATGTTAATAACTTTCTGCAACCATAGTGATTGATCTATGAATGTTTATATTATGACGGATTTTATGCAAAATTAGTGGTTGACACTTGAATGTTGGTTAAGTAATGATGGATTGTGTAAATTTTGGTGTCAAATGTTGGTTATGTAATGACTTGGTACAAGTTTATTATGGATTATGGATTGTAGATGGCTACTTTTATGAAGTTAAATGTTGGTTATGTAATGATTGTAATGACAGGTAACTATATTACAGTGATGCATAAATTTTTCATCAGGGGTACTTTCGTCCAATTTATTAATCTGTTTCAAACATCTATATATATATCTAGATATGCAATCTATATTCTTCATCTGGGATGTGTGTGTGTGTGTGTGTGTGTGTATATATGTGTGTGTGTGTATATGTAGTATATATTCTTAGCATTGTGGTTGTTTGTTCATAAGGGGTAGTTTCGTCCAATTTATTAACTTGTAAAGTTAAAAAGGTCAACTAAATAGTCAAAAGGCAATTTGGTCAATTTTTCATGCCGGTTGACTTCAAGGGGTACCTTTGTTCACTTTTCAATCTTCAAAGGGTGTCATTGTCCCAAAAATAGGTAACTTTCATCTTATTGTTCTTTTGGCAAAGCTCAGGGGTTGTTTCTGTACTTTACTCAAAATTAAATGTATATTTTATATATATAACAAATAGCTATCTTTAATATATTTTTTTAATTCTATATTTAATAAAAAAAATTATAATTATATTAAATTTTTAATTAGGAATAATTTTTTCTTTTTTAAAATTATAAAAAGAATTAAGATTTTCATTCCATGTGATACTCCATTAATTTGACAACTTTGAGAACAAATATTTTTTTTAATCTCTATTTACCCAATAAAAAAACACATATATTAGAACTTTCTAAAGAGCAGCATTAGGTCCTTGAAAATGTATCTCCCAACTCTCACTAGGAGAAATATAGAGAGAAATTTTTTGTTATTTTTTTCGAAAAGGTGAGAAAAATCCTTAAAATTGAGTTAAATGTGCACATAAAACTACTATGAGATTATTTGCATGCAAACCCCCTTTGGGCTTTTTCAGAAAAGTAAAAGAGCGAAACGAACATTATAGCATTACTTTATGTCAGATTTCTATTTAAGGGATGTTTTCGCACAATGTTAAAAGAATAATGGTATTATTAGCACACTTTTTTAAATAGGGGATGAAAATGTTACGCGAAGTAATACATTAGGAGTGTTTTCGCAATGTTAAAAGAAAATAAGGGATTTCACACTTTTTTAAAATAGATGATAAAAATGCTACGCAAAGTATACATTAAGGGTGTTTTCAACACTTGACCCTCATATTTAATTTAATCTATTATAATTTAGAATAGTACACTATCCTTCATCATTATTTTTAATTAACTTATAATTTTATTTTATTTTGCAATATTACGCTTAAAAGAAATTCTTATTTACTTATTTAAAATTAGGGTTATTAGAGAATGACCCTAAATAACCAAAAAGGATTATGTATGCATGTCTAATTTTCTATACTTACCCAAATTTCTCCTGAAAAATAACCAGAATACTTTGAGCTCAAAATTGAGATGGAAACATCAAAAAGTGACCAACACGTGAATGGAAAAGGCAACTATAAATTTAGCATAGTTTTATGAGACAAGGCCTATACATTGTCAGCGGACTCGGCAAAAAGTGTATCAGAGGAAATCAGAATAACCTATTTGAGAAAGTTCCAACTCCATATCAAATATTGAGGAAGTTCCAACTTCAACTTCATACCAAAAACCAGACTACATTGAGGCAGGAGTTCCAACCACATAAATTTCAGGACACTGAAAAGAAATCATTGCCAGATCGAGATACAAATTGTTCTCTATCTACAACAGAAATATTTAGTGGTGAAGCCCCACACAATAAGCCAAAAAACCTGCCTCTTGTAACTAAATTTCACAGTGCTCAATTGCAGATATCGTTTATTTTTTTTTTTTTATTTTTTTTTTTTTTTTGAGGGAGCATAATTCAAATTCCTCGTAACATCAAAGTTGCAGCACAATCAATGGGTACTTTTCAGTGTATCAATTACTCTTGCAAACACTTGGCATCTAGAGCGCTCTCCCACAAGCTCCCATGGACACAATCTCAATGGATTATCTCAGCTGTATATCTTCATATTACTCATCGTCTAGTTAGCTGCCAAATAATACATATTCCAATTCTGTTATGGCAAGAATGGTTTAACCAGATTATATGCAGATGTAAAGGAGTTGGCAGAAACAAGTCATAAGTTACCAGGGAGTGACAATGTCAGCTCTGCTTTGTTATTAGTTCAATGTCAGCTCCGACTTCAGCAATCTTAGGGTCTTTAGAAGTCTTTGCTGTCTTGGCAATGTTCTCAACATCAAAGTCCAACGCTATTCTTCTCACCAGACCCTCAAGCATCTGTATTTAAAGAACACATTGATAACACCGATGTAAACATATATAGAAGAAATATACACAACTTCTCTCTCAAAAAACAACAGTGTCCTCATGGTTGACAATCCAAACTTTTACCATTGTACCAAAAACACAGCTCCTTAAAGCAGAAAATAATATTTCCCAAAATTGTATAATGACCAATTAACTAGATTATTCAGCACAAGATGATCTGAGCAATTAACTCTACACTACACACTATTTTAGTAATAATCTGACTCGTTTTAATTGAATGTTCTCAAATCCCATTCACTAAAATATGAAACAAATACCGCTACTTTAAAGATAATGCATTACACTGCAATGAATCTACACTTGCACGTTGTAATGTGTCTGATATTCTTCAAATCAAGCTATCATTTAATTGTTCTCACTGCCCTTGCTCTTGTTCCCTTGCAATGCATATTGGCATTTACTAACCTATGTGATTTATTGAAAATCGAAAAATTATATTTTTGGTTACTTTATTAATTATCTTAGCTTACAACCCTTTTAAAATATAAACTTTTTAGGTTCATAAGTTCCCATTTACTGTTGTTTTTTTGTTTGTTTGTTTGTTTTTTTGTTTGTTTTTTCCCTCTAAAAAATTGAACTCATAGTTTTTGACTTATTGGAATTTATGATTTGTTACATTGGAAACGGAGTGTCTGAAACGACGACCAAGAAAATTAAGACACAAGGATATAGTTATATATATACATATATATATATATATATGTATATATATGGGTGTACATTATTTCTTATCTTCGTTATGTGATAATTTCCAATTTCATGTTTTCCATTTATTTTGGGGTCATTACTTGGTGCACTGGTAAAATGCTCGGGCCGTAAAGCATGAGAACGCAAGTTCGAATCCTAAGAGTAGCCACTTTGTGTAAATAACAGCGAAGAATACATCCAGTCCACCCCTCCTAGCATCCTCAGTTAATGGGCACCATATTGAAAAATAATCCTTTTTCATGACCTTTATGTTTTCCATGTATTTCTCACATTTATTCAGATTCATCTGGCGAAAAAAAATAATAATAATAAAATAAAATAAAAAGAATACAGGGACACAGTGATACATATATATAATGCAGTTACAGTAGTTGTTATCTTTGCTACGTGGTTAAAAATTGTTATTTTTCATTTTTCCAATGTATTTCTTGCATCATTCAGATTAATAATGCAAGAAATGCATCGAAAACTTGAAAAAGACTTTCAAATAAGTGCAATATCAGCTGTGACTGAGACCAACAGTGTGTAATAGAATTTTCCCTTCCCCCCTCTTAGATCAGACCTAGGATTCTCAATAAAAAGTCTAGAAGCCTAGAAGATCTGATGTGGCAGGTCGCAGAATCACTGCAGCAGCGAGGGAGTGGCAAGTGGGGAGGAAGAACAAAAACAGAGGCTTGTTCTGCAGTTTGACTAATGACATGCCTCCATCCCTTTGTAATGGATTAAAGTTGTTTGTCTATTTCCGATTTCCTTCTCTTATAACTGGTGTTATTCTTGACTCAGTTGTATGAATCCAACACATGCTCTTCCTAAGGATCAGTTGGATCAAATCCAACATATGACGACCATAACACACACTCAGACCAAAATATTGGGAAAAACTCTCAAGAGACAACACTACTTGTAAGCATAAAGACGATTTGGGTAAACAAAAATACCAGTGATCCAATGGCAACTAAAGCCCGGAATTTTGCGTCAACTTCAAGATTTTCCTCTTCTGCAATCTGTGGTATTACAAACAGAGTGTCAGTAGTGTAAACTTCTGAACATAATTATCTACAAAGTCCAACTAAATAAATTTTAGGGGGTGGGGGGAAACAGAGGACTGCCAGATGCATCAATTCAAAATCTAAATTTAAGAGCATCAGGAAATTAATTGCATACCTCAAGAGCTACTGAAAGAACTTGGGATTGGCCTTCCTGGTCCTTACTTTCAATCAAAAGCACAGCATAACTGAATGCTCACAAATGATATATTAGAAATTGAAGTTGACAAAGCAATAACATGTCTCAAACTACAAGGGTAAAACTGAAAAATAGATGTCAAAGTCTATTAAATAAAAGGTAATGACTATGATATATCATAGCATTAATCACGGAACTTGTAATATGCTGAAATTAATTTCTAGTTGGTCACATTTTGTCCTTCCTTGAAGAGTCAAAAGACAAATATAATGATTAAATCAATAAGAGTTGGACATTTATCAACAAAAAAAAAAAAAAATCAATAAGTGTTGGACCAGATTATCATCTAGTAAATGAAGCATTGATATCTCATACCAATTTATAAAGGGGTGGGGTGGGTGTGGGGGTGGTATGTCCAACTTATCAAAAAATACAAGAAAATAAAATTAGAAGAAAAAGAAGTTGTGTTGAACTGAATTTGTCATGCAAATTATCGGGCCATGGATGCCTATTTTGATGTCCACGTGTAACAAACAAGGTGTGCATCAGGTTTTACATAATAGTATCAGTCATCATGGTTGTGAAGTTTTTCTTATTTTGCACATCTTGCCAAAAGAACACCCATATTCAGCTTTTAACTTCACAATCTAATGAGTTGGTAATTATGGCCTTTAGTGGATTTTGTCAAAGCATTAAAAGGTGATTTTATATGATTAATTGTCTCTACATTGATTTTTAAGTTGCTAAAGTTATCTTGTTCAACTAGCGCACCCGATTAATTTATTCTTTTTAACATATTTTACTTACCAGATAAGATCCTTAACCTGATTTATGTAGAAAACATGATAATATGGGATCTGTGCTACGAAATAACAAATGCAGGTAACATATAATGCAACTATCGCTGTCATGCAAAAGAAAAAAAAATGATTCACAATAATCAGCGTTGCCGCCTGAACCTTCATAATGGATTTCTTCTTCAGGAAAGTTCCCTAATTTTATTTTATTTTATATTATATATATATGATACAAATTATATATGTTGTCCAAGAAAGTGTCTTTCAGAAATTAAAGTCATTTCTGTTTTTTAATACAAAGTAGAAATTAAGCTAAAGAAAACCAAGTGATTACTTAGGAAAGTTAAAAGGTGTTATTAATGCTGAATGGAATTTCCAAAGTCTGACTATGGAAATTAGAGGTCATTATTGGCTATACCATAAAAGAACAACCCCTTTTTCTATGGTTTTTGTTTCTTTTTTGGAAGTTAAACCAAACACACACACCCATTATTCACAATATGTCCCTTGTGGAACTCAAACTATCAACCTCCCCCTCTGGGGAGGAGATATTGTACCATTGGACTAGAGGCCCTTTGGTAACCCTCCTTTCTATGTTGTAACAAGTCATGAAGATAATTCCAGCATATCATTAATTTCTAAACTATTCTTCAAGCTTATCCCAGATTTCACTTTAGAAATCAAGGCTGCAACAGTGATTGGAGTATTTATAGTCTATCTTACTGATGTAATTGGACTTCTGTTTATTTCTGTTCTCTTTTATATATATATATATTATTTTTTATTTTATTTATGTTTGCCACAAGTGGTATATAAGCCTTTTGTCTTCAATATATGATTATTGTGGATCTATGACTGGACAATGAAGCGACCTGTCTACAAGATAAGATTTAGAGAATCTGCAACATCAAATTCTTGACTCTACTTCTTTTGATAAAATAAGATTTTCGGAGTTTATTGATGGTCATCAACTTATTGATCTTCCATTAGAGGGTGCTTCTTTTACTTGGTCCAGCGGGAGGGAGACGCCTACTTTCTCCCGCCTGGAAAGATTTTTACTCTCTGGAGAGTGGGAGGAGAAGTTTCCGGATGCTGTTCAGACCGCTTTGGCTAGGGTTACGTCGGATTACATTCCTTTGGTTTTGGACTGTGGAGGGTTGAGTTCACGTCGTACCCCTTTCCGATTTGAGAATATGTGGCTTAGAGCGGTGGATTTTCAGGGGTTGGTGGGAGGAGGTTTTGGTTGTGGGAACTTCGAGCTTCATTTTAGTAGGGAAGCATCGCCCTTTAAAAGAAAAGCTCAAAACATGGAATAAGGAGGTCTTTGGTAATCTGGAATGGAGGAAGAATAGAGCCCTCGCTGACATTGCAGAGTTAGACAAATTGGAAGCAGTTAGTGGTCTTGTTGAGTCTCAACGTAACAGGAGAGCAGCTTGTCAAGCTGAATGTGGCGAAATTGCGATCATGGAGGAAATCTCGTGGCGACAAAAGTCTCAGGCCTTGTGGCTTAAAGAGGGTAACCGTAATACTAAGTTTTTTCATCGTACAGCTAATGCCCATAGGAGGGGCAACCATATTGGGCGGATGTGTGTGGACGGAACAATGTTGTGTTCTGAGGAGGAAGTACATACGGGGATTTGTTTCTTTCTATCAGAGGTTGTACACTGAGCCTCTTCGTTGGAGGCCACGCCTCGATGGTCTTCATTTTGATTCTATCTCAGAGGAGGATAAGGAAGGGATTGAGAGACCCCTTACGGAGGAGGAGGTTCTCTTGGCGTTGAGGAGTTGCAATGGCAACAAAGCCCCAGGTCCGGATGGTTTCGCTATGAGGTTCCTTCTGGAGAGTTGGGGGGTGGTTCGTCAGGAGGTTATGGGTACGGTCCATTAGTTCCACTCTAATGGGAGGTTCGAAAAGTCGTTGAATACTTCTTTTATTGCTCTTATCCCCAAGAAGGGAGGGGCAACTGACATTAAGGACTATAGACCCATTAGTCTGATTGGGTGTATTTAAAAGCTGATCGCTAAAGTCCTTGCGTTTCGCTTGAGGGGGGTTTTGGACAGCGTTATCTCTGACTCTCAGAATGCATTTGTTGGGGGTAGACAGATCCTGGATTCCGCTCTTATTGCCAGTGAATGTGTGGATTTCGAACTCAGTAGCGTGTTTTATGCAAGCTGGACATCGAAAAAGCCTATGATCATGTTTGCTGGAATTTTTTGTTCTATCTGTCAGAGAGGATGGGTTTCGGAGAGAAATGGAGGCGATGGATCGTTTCTTACATCTCATCTGTCAGATTTTCGATGTTGGTTAATGGATCCCCATCCGGGTTTTTTGGCAGCTCCCGTGGTTTGAGGCAAGGGGACCCTCTCTCTTCTTTCCTGTTCATTATTGTCATGGAGGCTCTTAGTAGATTGATGAGGAGGGCTGTGGACTTGGGGTTCATACGAGGCTTCAAGATTAGTTCAGACGCAGCTCATCAATTGGAAATTTCTCATTTGCTCTTTGCGGACGACACTCTGGTTTTCTGTGAGGCTGAGGTGTCCCAGTTGAGATACTTGCGATGTGTCCTTGCTAGTTTTCAAGCTGTCTCTGGGCTGAAAGTCAATGTGGGAAAGAGTGTTATTGTCCCTGTGGGGGATATTCAGGAGGTGGAGTCTCTCGCAGCTGTTTTAGGGTGTAGGACGAGTTCCTTCCCTATTTCTTATTTAGGCTTGCCTTTGGGTGTCTCGACAAGAAGGGTGGGAAGTTGGGACTCGGTGATTGAGCGATTCAAGAGAAGGCTGGCAGGGTGGAAAAAGCAATACCTTTCGAAGGGGGAAAAGTTACTTTGGTGAAAAGCACTTTATCTAGTCTCCCAACTTATTTCCTGTCGCTTTTCCAGATCCCTTCTGCTATTGTTGGAAGACTTGAGATACTTCAACGGAATTTCTTGTGGGGTGGTAGATGAGAGGAATTTAAGTATCATCTTGTTCGATGGGAGCAGGTTTGTAGGCCCCTCAGGTTGGGAGGCCTAGGGATTAGGAGATTGGCCCCTTTCAACAAGGCCCTCCTAGGCAAGTGGCTCTGGAGATTCGGCAGTGAACGTAATAGGTTATGGAAGAAGGTTGTTTCCTGTCGGTTTGGAGAGGAGGGGGGGATGGTCAGCTAGACCGGTCAGGTCTGCTGGAGGTGTGGGGGTTCGGAAATCCATTGGGAGAGGTTGGGATGATTTCTCAAAGCACATTAGATTCAGAGTTCAGGAAGGAAGGGATATCCGATTTTGGGAGGATGCTTGGTGCGAGGACCGTCCTTTGTCTCGTTTGTACCCGAGGTTGTTCAAGATTGCTGTTGATCGACATGCTATGGTTGCTGACTGCTATCACCTTGATAGCGGTAGGTTATCTTGGGATGTTTAGTTCCGCAATCCTTTCAGGATTGGGAGTTGGATGACGTCATTAGTTTGTTGGATCTTCTGTATAGAAAGGTGGTGGATGGCACTAGGCCGGACTCATTGATTTGGGTGCTTTCTCCTCAGGGGAAGTTCCAAGTTCGGTCCTATTTTCACCAGCTTTCAGATTTTTGTGACCCCACTTTCCCGTGGAAAACGGTTTGTGCTCGATGGCTCCTCTTAGGGTGGTTTTTTTCGTCTGGATTGCTATTTAGGGCAAGATTTTGACCCTGGACAATTTGAGGAAGAGACATGTTATCGTTAACCGGTGTTGTATGTGCATAAATGATGGAGAGTCTGTGGATCATCTTCTCTTGCGCTGTCCCGTAGCTCACGACTGCTGGAGCCTTTTGTTGGGTCTCTTTGGTGTCCAATGGGTTATGCCCTGGACCTCTAGGGATTTGATTGATGGGTGGAGGGGTCAAAGGGTGGGAGCGCGCACTCATAATTTCTGGAGGGTGATTCCCCTTTGTATTTGGTGGAGTCTTTGGAAAGAACGTAATCGTAGATCTTTTGATGGGGAGGGGACCTCCAATGCGGCTTTGAAGTTCACTATTCTTTGCTCCCTTTTTAGTTGGGGTATGGGGCGAGATTGTATTTCTTTGGATAAGATTATGGACTTTTTGGGGTCGTTGGGTTCATAGATCTCATTTTTTCTCTTTTTTCGTCTTTGTATAGTTCTTGGGACGCGTTCCCCTTTTGAACACCTTCTAATACAATTTTACTTATCAAAAAAAAAAAAAAATCTTGACTGTGCATTATATTAGAACAATCTGCAATCAAATTCTTCTCTTAATAAGGCCTTGCCAAACCACGCCATCGATTATGTCTGCAACTAAGGATTAGTTGTTCCTCAATTAGGGGCATAACTATTGATTTCATAAATTGTGTGCAAAAAGATGGATGAATCAGTGAACCACCTTCTCCTTCATTGTCCAGTGGCAAGGGATGTGTGGTCTCTATTCTTGGTTGCTTTTGGCATGGCTTGGGTGTTTCCCGAGTCCACAGTAGATATGTTAGAGGCTTGGAGAGGGTGTATTGAGGAGAGGAGAGCCGGGCCAGGGAAGCGTGGAGAGCCAGACCCCTTTGTTTATGGTGGGATCTATGGCGTGAGAGAAATAGGAGATCCTTTGATGGAGAAGAATCCCCTATTTGGTCCCTCAAATACAACATTCTTTCTACTCTATTTTTTTGGGTCAATAGGGCAAATTGTAAATCTTTGGAACATCTTTTGAAATTTGTGGATAGCTTGAAATTATAGTACCCTTTTAGGCTTCTTTGTATTCCTTTGGGAGCGCTCCCCTTGGGGCGCCTTTAGTGAAATCTTACTTATAAAAAAAAAAATTAAATTGTTGTTTTCCTTACTCATGCTTTCCTTATCTATGTTTTCCTTATTATGTGTTCCTGAGAACATTATATATTCCCCTTGTATTCATCCACTCAAATTGTGAAAGAGAAAAGTCTAACCCTGGATAATCTGAGGAGGAGGCATATCATTACTAGCTGGTGCTGCATGTACAAGAGGGATGAAGAGTCCGTAGATCATCTCCTCTTGCATTGCCCAGTGGCCAGAGACAATAGGGGTTTGCTTTTGGCTATGTTTGGGATTGAGTGGGTTATGCCCCAGTCTCCGAGGGGAATGATTGAGGCTTGGACAGGTTGTATGGTGGGTTCCCAAGCCCGTGACTTTTGGAGGGTGTCTCTTTTCTTAGTTCTCTATTTGTAGGGTTTCTGGGAGAAATTGTAAATCTATGATGTAGCTGGTTTATTTTTTGCATATTCTGAGAGCTTAGGGACCCTATTTGGTCCTTGTTTTTCTTTTTGTGGGCTGTGTACCCCGTTTGAACGCTTCTAATACAATCTTACTTATAAAAAAGCTTATATTTCCACAGTATACTTAGATGGTGATTGTCTTTTGAGCATGGAACATCAAAAATCTTGGTGCAACAAGGATTTTCAACACCGAAAGCAACTTCCATACAATCACCAAGGATCAGATGTTACTAGGCTTGGGGATCAGAGTGTTCACTACTTGAGGAGCATATTTGCTGACGGGAAGCAATAGAGTTCGGATGGAGAATCAGCCATGAGTCCTGGACAGAGGTAACTATGACATTCTCAAGTTATAGTCTAGTTGAATTATTGTGTAACGCCTTTCTCCTAGAGGATTTTATCTTCATGGACTAGTCCTGTGGTTTTTGTCGATAGGGTTTTCCACGTAAAATTCGTGTGTCCATTTGTGTGGATATTTTAACATTTTCAACAAGATAACTTTTGCATTCTTATATCATTAGCTATAATTTGGAATTTAGCTAATGGCAGTCTAATTGAACTTCTGTCAAAGTTAGTTAATTTGTGCTTAAAACCTAGTCAACACCACCCCCACACACCCCCCCGCTCCCCCCTTCTCTCTCTATAGGTATAGTTCAGGCCTTGTGCGGTAGGTGTTCTACGGAATATAACAAATTGATCATGGATTGAAATGTAAAGTAGCAAAATGGTTTTTGATTATTCTAAATGGTGGAATAAAACCAAGACAATGACAACTGTGACCAAGGGTTTTTGTATTATACTAAATAGTGGAATAAGTCCATAATGATGGCAATATTACAACAGTTATTATAACTAGTGCTGACAACAGTAGAACATCTTAAGACTCACCGGCAAGAAAAAAAAAAAAAAAAAGAACAAGAAAAAGAAGGAACCAAATAGGAAAAATATCCATCCAAAATAAATTAAAGGAAATATATTGTAAGAATGACGCCACCCAAGCAAAACTCAAACAATCACACATGAGCTACACTAGATAGAAAATTTAAAAGAGTCCTAGAGATCACTTACTTGAGTATCAAGGTAGAAAAAGACACTTGCACATTCTTATTTGAAGATGAATAACAACTTGAGAATGCATCAATAATCTACAAGATCAGTAAACAGAAATATTGATATTTTTATAAGCATAGAATAAAAAACTAGTACATTTTCATTAGACTAAAGTGCAAATTAATAATAAATAAAATAAAGTGATCGGGTGCAGATCCATTTAGTTCATGAAACTTCAGACATCAGACACAAATGAAGTGTACTGGTGCCTGAATATTGAGCAGGAGTAGCTACATAGTCAGACAAACAACTAAATTCTTTGAAAAGGTAAATTTGGAAGAATTTTGGAAATTCGAAATGATTTTCAAGAAATGTATAACTAGTGGTGAGGAAAGGAAATTTTGGGTCATTGAGAAATATTAAAACATGAAGAGGTACTTGTGAAATAATTAAAATTAAAATAAAAAAGGCTTCAAATGATGGAATTCATTCTTCTTTTAACTAAACAAAGAAATAGGGAGAAACCCTAGATCCGTGACTTCCGTCCATGCTTCCTCTGGACAATCTATTATGGCTTCAGCAACAACTAATCTTAGACATACACATGCATTTTCCATTAGTTCCTCCTGCCCCGCATTCCCCTCTGTTAACAACCATCTACTCCAAAAGCTAAAGCTCTTAGAGAGGGTGTAACTTAAATATTTAAATCCTTCAACACGCCCCCTCACAAGTGTCCTTCTTTTGGCCCAACATGTGTTTCAATTTTAAATCAGGTGACGGTGAGGTTTGAACACAGGACCTACCCTGATCTGATACCATGTTAACAACCATCTACTCCAAAAGCTTAAGCTGTTAGAGAGAGTGTAACTTAAATATTTAAATCCTTCAACACTCTCCATACACGATGAGACACAAGTTGGCTATGTATCTAAAGGAGTGTCTAGATGCATCTACATGGGTTCTCAAGTTTGAGGAGTTCGTGAAACAAAGCAGAGGCTCATAGTCTCATGCTCTTTATATAATTATCTCTTTTTATCTCAAAAATATAACATATCTAGGTGAGTATTTTACTAAACTTGGCAAGTGAAGAAGATTCAAATGTTTTGATGTGCAGCTCAACCACAATACAGTTAGACTGAAGATTGTAAATCAGATTCCTATAGTTTTATCATCGCAACACATACGTTGTTTAGAGGTCCTTTTCTTTTTCCAAATATAGTTAGCCTTCTGAAATCTCACTGAACAATGAACTTGGAAGGACTGGGAACACCAACTTGTATTCAAGTTGTCAGAAGCACTTCACTTAGCTCGTGTCGGGACAAGAAAGTGGGATAGGTAAGGATGCCAAGAAGAACAGAGTCTTCATGGTCAAACTGTAGGCGCATCATTTCAAAGTTTATGTCCTTCTGGGGATAGTTCATCTCCTCATTGGTTGAGCTAAGCATTTATTGTTTTCCCCAAAAGTTTCCCTCATCATTCACTAAATCAGTTATAAAAAATGGGTACTTAAACTTTGTGTTATATAATACATCATGAAGACCCTTGTATCCGGAAGATGCACCCACATGAATGGCTAAAACCAAACCTAGGACATTGGTTCGCAAGACAAGGCACCCTCCTCAAAATTGTCTGGGTGACCTCATAGTCTTGAGTAGACAGCTGTTGAAGTGAATAAACTTCAAATGATTAACCCATAAGTTTTATTTTCTTTAATTTCTCACTGAACATTTCTATCAAGTTTTCATGCGCAGTAACTGTAAAATTACTGCAGAGAAACAATACTAACCTCATCACGATGCTTTTGTAGCCATTGATAGTAGCATGAATTCTTGAAGAGATTAGTCACAGCACGAATGCTGGTCAAAATATTTGCTGGAAGTGGAGGACTTGTTGTAACCATCTTAATCATCTCCATGAGTATATCTGCTAGAGCAAAAGGAAGATATCTTCAGTAAATGCCGAACTTGAACTAAACAATATCATGGAGAAAAAGACACACCAAATCAAACCGCATGTAATAAAAACTAGTAGGAGCATGTTTGAGGCCCATTTCCCAGCCAAACCAGCTTAAGACCCAGTTGTTGGATCATCAGTCGTATTAAGTGGATCACAGCTTAAGGCCCATTTTCAGGTGTGATTAACAAATGGGGGATAGTTGCACATATAAGACATGACTAAAAAAGCGCTCTATTTGAATGGCTCTTCTTCAAAACTAATTTGAAAAATAAAAGTGAAACACAAGGTACATGACAAAATTAGATACCATTTTCATCATTAATATGTTTGAGAAGTAAAGTCGCCCCATCTGGGTGCAGGACAATCATCCTCAGGATATCTATAACTGCAATAAAATAAGATTAAAAAATTAAAAAAATAATAATAATCAAGCAAGAGAAATAGAATTAAAGAATTAATCATATGAGCAGTGTGGTGGAGATGCTTACTCTGACACTGAAACTAGTACTAGAATATAAGAATTAAAACACATTCCAATCAACAGTGTGTGTAAACACCAACAAGTGATAAATAAAAATTCAGTATCTTATATAACGAACACATGATTTACCTACAATAAATATAAATACATAAGCACAATTTATAAAAATAAATGGTAATTGCATTTGAGTACAGAATCCATATCCACACCACCAAGGAATTCAAATGACCCTCAACCAAGACAAAATCTATACTTTCGTGAGTATGAAAAAAATCAGAACCAGAATAATGCATCCTGATTAAAAAAGTCAGGAACCATGGGATCTTTATCTAAAGGCCAATCAAAAATATTTGCAACTCAGCGGAGTGATAAATCTACTGCTGTTCATTTCAGAAGAGAATGAGAATTATGTTTTACTTCACTCTCTTTAACTTTACAAAAAAGTTTCAAGTCACTTTTGTTAGGTCTATACGACTAATGTTGAAAAATTTCATAGAACACAATGTGTCAATGTAAATTTGAGTTTATATTTAATTAGACAGACTTGTCCTAGTTGTCAGTTAAGTGGGAATTACCTCTTTGATGAAGATGAGCTTCAACAAGGTTAAATTTGTCAACTTCATCAACAAAGGGTAAAAAGGTAAGTTAACACAGATGCAATTTCACCAATTAGGCTCATGCATTCATTTTTATCGTTCTTTATCTCAATGTTTTTATTGACTTATTTTGAATTCAAAAATATGTTTTTAAAATGCATGGTTTTGAAACAAAAGTCATAATTTCCGCCCCCCCCCCCCCCCCCCCCAAGTGTTGGAAAATCTTCAGTATTACGCACACTGGAGTATCCTCGATAGATTGAACCACCTTGGGATAGATCGAGACACGGTGATGACCCATATTGATCATACAGGATAGTTAATGATATATGAAACAATAAATTGTGGTTATGTATCAATCAATCGTGGCTATGTATCAATAGGTCGAGCCATCTATCATCAAGTGTCCAGCAAGCTATGATTTGGAAGGCGGTTTAGCGTTCTATGGCTCCGCTCAAGGTGGCCTTCTTTGCTTGGACAGCGGTTTGGGGCAAGATTTTGACGTTTGATAACCTGAGAAGTGGAAGACAGGTTACTGTCAATTGTGTTGCATGTGCAGGCGTGATGGAGAGTCAGTTGATCATTCTTTTGCATAGTCGTGAGCCGGGTACTTCTACTTGGTTTGTTCGGAGTTTAGTGGGTCATGACTCATGCCTCGGTCTTTGAGAGGCTTGATGGATGCTTGAAGATGGTGCTATGTAGGATCCTACGCCCGTGATTTTTGGAGGGTGGTGCCCTTAAGCGTTTGGTGGTGCTTATGGAAGGAGCGGAATAGATGATCCTTTGATGGAGAGGAGTCTTCTATTGTGGCTTTAAATTTTTGTATTATTAGCTCTCATTTTTGTTGCGTTTTGGGGAGAAATTGTAAATCTTTAGAGGAGAGAGTTGAATTTTTGGGCTCCTTGGGGCCTTAGGGTCCTTTTGGCTCTGGCATTTGTGTAGGTTTTAGGATGTGTTCCCCTTTTTGAAAGTTTTCTAATACAGTTTTACTTATCAAAATATATATATATGAAGTTTCCTCCTTGAGTTCTGACCTAATCCAACTACTTTCAAGGTGTTTATAAATGCTAATGTTCTGTAAAAATCTGGAGACATTCTGTATACATTGATTAGAGCTTTTCTCATATTCATTCTTTTTTTTTCATAAGCTCAATCAAATTTATTTGTCTTTCCACAAGAATCAAGACCTGATGTTCTTTATATACTACATATAGCTATAAGTGTTATTCTTGTGAGATAAAGTGCATCTTTTTGTTTGCATTTTTTTGTCATACATTTTAGTATTAGTGAGATGATGTATTATTGGTGTTGATACAATTTATTGTTGTGCTACAAAGACTATTTCAACATTATTCTGAGTATTAAACCAGATATTTGTTTGGACTGTCTAGTGGTTGAGATCAATCAATGAAGAAGCAGATTCGAGGAGACTAAAACATTGTAGGCTGAGTAGTTGATGACTTGGAGATCTTTGAGGGTACTGAAGATTTGGTGTTAGCTGTGTCTAGAGATCAACTAGGAGTTCGAGGGTACTGAACTAAAAACTATTTTGTACATCTCATTCTTCATAGTGGACTGACTTGCCAGACTAGATCCCGTGGTTTTTTAACCCTGGTTGAACTTTGAACTAAAATATAAGTATAAATATCTGATTGTTTTAAATTTTAAAATAACATTGTTTCATAAAACTTTTTTTAAGTAATTATATGTAAAGAGCATCATATTACTGAAAGTTATTAAATAACTGCTCATATTTACACTTCAACCCGGCTTTCTTTCTAAAACTTTCTTAAAAATCCCTAAGAATGCCTTACTTACAAAATAAATAAAATAAAAAACAAAAAAATCCCAAGAATCAGACACGCGTGTCGGGCACTTGTTCATGGCGTGTCTATGCAATGTCCGAGCCATGTCCAAATATTCAAATTCAAAAACAAAAAACAAAATTCAGACACATTTTTTGGCGTGTCGGGGCATGTCCGACACGTGTCAGTGTCCAACAAGGATTCTTTGCCTTTTTAGGTGTGTCCGTGATTCCATGTGTTTCATCCTCATAGAAATACTTCGAAAGCTAATGGGTTATATTTTAACCAGAAATAATCTCATGCTGTCGTCAGCTCTGGTTCTTCAACAAATTTCTATAAATTTCAGCAGTCCATCTCCAACACACAGCTAATTAAAGCATTCAATCAAAAAGATTGCACATACACATTCCAAGGCAAGAAAGCATTATCCATGAATTATTATAGCAAGGACAAATGGCGTAAAAAATCTATAAATAATACAAACAGTCTTCATCATGAAGCCCCTTCCGAAAGATAGAAATAAGGATGATTACAATGTGGACCACAGAAAAGGAAGACAGACTAGCAGCATATAAAATTAACCACAGTTACCTGGAAATATCGTTGCAAGTGTCCATGACTTCAGCAATTTCAGCAACAAAGCAATGTCAGCATCCGAAAATCTACTGCGGTGATAATGTGATGTATCCTTCAAAATTTTAACTATAGCATCCAATCTTGAAAACTCAAGTTCAGTCAGCGACATGTTCTTTTTGTCCTTCAGAAGATTTCAAATAGATCCATCATTTAGGTGTAATTCTATATTTGTGCATTGGGAATGTAAGATAGTTACACGTGATTAAAAAAAAATTTACTCCAATTCTCAAAACTTAAAAGTCTCTATATATTAACCAATATCTCATGAATAACAAGAAACAAGGAAGCTCAAACCATTGTACAACAAAAGAAGCAACCAAGATTAAATAATAAAACATTTAGCTAAAAGTAAATAGAAGTGAAGAAGCAAAACTCATATATACCAAGAATACAAAAAATATATGAAGGAAAATATTACCGGGTCAGAAAGCAGAGAATTGTTGAACTCTGAAATCTTTTTGAGAATCCCATCAAACTGGGCCACATCAAAAACAAGCATTCCTTTCTGGAAATAACATAATTTAGGAACATAAATGAATTAACAGATTGAGAAGAATGAAGATCCATGGAAAATGTAAGAACACAGAAGTATGTTTAGATTAGCACATCCCAAATTTAGAACTTGAAATGCAATATAGTTGACAGGTGAATTCCCATTGCTATAATGAACCCATTGTTGGCAGTAGTTAAATTACTTCAATGTCAATATATAGAATCTTAATTTTTCATGGTAAAAAGCAGCATATCTCATAATTGTATCCCGCGCCTAAATCAGGCACTGACAAAAACATCTATTATCAATTTCATTATGTTCCTGAAATTCAACATCAACATCAATACAATCAAATAGAATAAAGTAATGGCACATGGAATAAAGCTATAGGGTAACATGCCAACAAAAATATTTGAAAATTTCAAATTGGTTTCTCATTCATTTTGTCCGACATTGGTTATTCTGTCTGGAATCCCTTTGGAGGGATCTCAAATGATTGGCATCTCCAAAGTTGTGCTCATCTCTTGGCTATGTCATGTGTAATGGATACAAGGGCCATGGTGAAGGGAAGTAGTGCATCCATGACAGCCAAGGTCTACTAGATTGCTTCCTTCAAATCCATGCACCAAGCTACAAATGGCTCCTTTTCTAATAAAATAGCGGAAGGACGACTTGGGATGTGCAGTTTGTGAGGCACCTCTAGCCTCTCTAGGACTGGGAGATGGAGAACATTTCTGATTTCCTGGCGTTGCTATATCGTCAGAGGGTGGAGGGCATGGGGTGGACTAGTGGTTATGGGCAGCTTCCTCTCAGAGGAGATTCGCGGTGCGCTTCTTCCAGGAGGTTGGTGAGTGCTGAGGTTCCTTCCTTACCAAGTTGTGTAGCACACAAAGGCCCCTCTAAAGGTGGCTAATTTTTCCTGCACCATAGCTTTGGGCCGAATCCGAACAATAGACAACTTGAGGAGGAGAGGGCAGATTCTTGTGAATCAATGTTGCATGTGCAAGAGGGATGAGAAATCAGTGGATCATCTTCTTCTTCACTGCCCGATGGCTCGAGATAGCTAGGCTATGCTCCTGGGTTTATTCAGGGACCATTGGGTTATGCTTCATTTTACGATGATTGTTTTTGAGGTTTAAAAAGGCTGCCCGGTGGGGGGCTCAAGCTCGAGATGCCTGGAGAATCACGCCTTTGTGCTTATGGTGGTCTTTGTGGAGAGAGACATAGGAGTGAGAGAGACAAAACTCCTATTGGGGTGTTTAAGTTATCTTTTGCAGTTTATATTTTTGGCTTCGGAGGAGAAACTGTAAATCTATAAGAGAGTTAGTGGATTTTGCGGACATGTTGAGTGGTTATGGGCCCTATTTGTCCTTGTGTAGTTTTTGGTGATGTGTTCCCCGTTGGAGTGCCTTTTATAATACATTACTTATAAATAAATAAATAAATAAAAACATTTTTCCGCTTGCAAAATGCGAGGGTACCACCATGCTTCAGTGAACAAATAGTTTACCTTTCTAATTCTATTACTGTGACTCCTTTTTCGTCCACACTAAGTGCATTAATCAACCTTGTCTTACAAGAAAAAGTAATCAACTTGTATACTTGGTTTTATCACACAAGATGTGCTTCGTTACAACTATCCCAACAACAAAATCTGCACAATTATACATGGGCATGCAATTTCGAAGAGTGCACTTTGAACCATCTGACCAATTACAATATTGAAAACTTGAGAAAATACCTTAGGAATATGCTTATAAGTAGGTTTCGCCGAGACAGCTGTTATTTAAGAAAAAATATGAAAATTATTAGATCCTGCCATAGACTTGAGTAGGAAGTTGTGCAGCAGAATATCATCTGTAGAAAACCAGGAAAGAATTTTAAACTCTACTTCCCAATAATAAACACGTACCATACTTGTTGGAAGGTTCTCCAGGTATGTAAGCACTAGCTGAAAAGTGAATCGAGGAACTAGTTACATGAAATGTAGAAATTAGCAGAATGACCTAATCAACCAACTCAAGTGGTCAGTGAAGTCAAATATGATATGATACTTACAACCAGTGAAGGGATCACGAAATGATGAATCAAAAGTGGTATCCCTTTGTCCAGAATTTTGGAGTATGAACTGAACAATTTGTTCACGGTAGGAAAGAGGAAGATTTTCCTTGAGAAGCCAGTTGTCAGCAGTAGTATATGGATTATCTGGAAACAGTTAACCAATTGTATTATTTTTATTGGGTTTCAATGATCAAATACATACATTAATCATTGAATATATAAGGTATAATAAATTTAACATACAACTAGGATATTCAACAAGAAGTCCAAGTCTAAAAGAAATTAAAGCTTCCATATGTGCATACCTCTTTAGTATATGATCATCATTACTACAGACGAGTATTTCCAATAAAATCACAAACTACATATATTAATTATATATGTTGTCATAGCATATCCCTCACAATTATCAATACAAAATTAATGAAGACATAGAGATACTTTCAGATCCCATTTAGCATCACAATCATAGCCATAAAGTAAAACAATATTTGTCAACACAAGTCTACAACCATCTGCAGACAAGAATTCTGAACACGGAATATTATTAATCTATTAGAAATTTAAAGGAAAAAATGTGCCACCATTCTCTCACTAAGCCACATTATGATAGATCACAGTTTATGCAAAATTTTATGGATTTCTTTGGAGGAAAAGTAACGTATTTTAACAAAAGTTTTACAAAGATAGAACGTGTTGTAGTGGAAGAATAAAAATCAGCATGGATCAAGTGAAAATAAACTGAGAGACGTAAACATTGTACTGAGGAGAATACCCGATCGATTGTAGGGCAATTTACGAATGGGCTCACCATCTCCAATATCAACATCAAAGACTGATCGACAAAATATTCCAGATTATTATTGGAAAGTCTGAAAAATTAAAAAATACAAACTGAAGAAAAAAGGTAAATCAGATTTGAGAAGGCTAACCATAATCATATTGGATTCCATCAAGAACAGGACGCTTCATGCCATCATCAGGTCCATCAACAACTTCGCCAATCTAAAGTGAATGCAATGGTGAGTACAAATATTTCTAGCTACATCTAAAAAGAAAGGTAAAGACAATTAACATTGAAGCATAAGATGAAGATATTTGATTGTCAGAATAATTAAGTGACTTAACTTCTCTAAAACTAATTATCTAATTCCAAAATCTCGTTGAAAAACTATAGTCATTGACAGTTCCACAAAGTAAACATACAAGCAAACAATAAACAGAAATTCAAGTGTAGGTGATGAAGATACTAAAGAAGTAAGTATTCAGGATCACCAATAGGTAATGGCATTTATCTATTTGGTAATGTAAAAGTGCAAGATGTCTCCACAAGCGTAAATGAAAACTTCCAATTTTTTTTTTTTTTTTTTTTTTTTTTTTTTTTGTTTAGTAAAGATTCATAGAAAAAGCATGCTCAATCAGGGAGCACATCCCACAAAACTACACAAGGACCAAATAGGGCCCCTAATTTCTCAATATGTCCAAAAATCCACCATCTCCCCCAAAAATTTACAATTTCTCCCCTAGAACAACCAAAAAAGAGAACTAAGTATAGAAAATTTGAGCACCCCTACAGGAGTCTCCTCATCATAAAAAAAATCTATGTTGTGTTCATTCCACAAGCACCACCAAATACACAAAGCCGCCACCCTCCAAAAGTCTCGGGCTTGGAAACCCACTATACATCCTCTCAAAGCCTCCATCAAACACCTTGGAGATTGAGGCATAACCCAAATGACCCCATACAAGGCCAATAGCATGGCCCAACTGTCCCAAGCCACTAAGCAATGAAAAAGAAGATGATCTACCGTCTCCTCATCTTTTACACATACAAAACCAGCTCATGATGACCTGTCTTGTGACGACCTCTGTGGGCGGGTGCGAGACACTAGGCGAGCTACCACACCAGCAAGCTACAAGTGTTATGATTCCACATCACCTGGGAAAGGTAAAGGTGAAGTGCTATATGTAGGTTCAACACCTTTCTTTAACACAATGCGTTTTAAAGCCGTGATGGTCCTGAACTCATCAGAACTCCACAATTAAGAGTACTTATGTTGGAGTAGTACTCGGGAAGTCTGGTCCGGGGGAGCCAAAAGCGTACAATATTGTGTCGGGTAGGGTGAGGGCTGTTAAAAATGGTATCCGAGCCGGAACCCAGCTGAATGTGTCGCCAACAAGGACGTTGGGCCCCATAGGGGTTGATTGTGACGACCTCTGTGAGCGGGTGTGATGTGGGTGGGTGCGAGACACTGGGTGAGCTACCACACTAGCAGGCTTTGGGTGTTATGATCCCATATCGCCTGGGGAAGGTAAAGGTGAAGTGTTATATGTAGGTTCAACAACTTTTTATAACACAACGCATTTTAAAGCCTTGATGGCCGTGAACCCATCAGAACTCCACAGTTAAGCGTGCTTACACTAGAGTAGTACTAGGATGGGTAACTTGCTAGGAATTCTAGTCCGAAGGAGCCAAAAGCGGACAATATTGTGTCGAATAGAGTGAGGGCTGTTACAAATGGTATCAGAGTCGGAACTCAGCCGGATGTGTGGCCAGCAAGGACGTTGGGCCCCATAAGGGGGTGATTGTGACGACCTCTGTGAGCGGGTGTGATGTGGGTGGGTGCAAAACACTAAGCGAGCTACCACATTAGCAGGCTACGGGTGGTATGATCCCACATCGGCTAGGGAAGGTAAAGGTGAAGTGATATATGTAGGTTCAACACCCTTTTATAACACAACGCGTGTTGTGGAAAAACTAATCATTTTATGGGATTCTAGGCGCGGTTGACCTCATGATTCGGATCCAATTTATTCGGAATTACTCATGAATAAATTGGAATGATTTCTTCCCATTTTAGTCTCTGATTCAAACTATTTGTACAGCTGCATATCTTTGACTTTGTACATTTATTTTGTTCCTTATTTATAGCCTAGAGTGTAGCTGTCCTTTCTTGTATATATAGGCCTTGTACAATCTGTAAACTATGAAGGAAATTAATAGAATTCCTTATTCAAAAACTTTCCTGATGGTGTCAGAGCCCCCTTTGGTTTATAGGTGCATTTTCTTCAATTTAGTCGGCCTTCATTGTTGGATAACTTCATTCAACCACCATGTCTGAAGAAACCTCTGTTAGTGTTAGTGCTTCGGAAAAGACTTATAATGGGCAAACCTCAGGGCCTATAGAAAGTCCTACCATTCAGATTACTACCCACAAACTCAATGGCCAAAACTTTCTCCGCTAGTCTCAAATCCGTGAAGTTTTTCATCAAAGGCAGAGGGAAGATGGGACTGCGGGATGGATCAAAGAAGGCGCCCAAACTAGAGGAGCCTGGTTTTGAAGCGTGGGATGCTGAAAACTCTATGATTTTGTATTGGCTCATTAACTCGATGGAGCCAAAGATAAGTCAAGAGTTTCATGATTTTTTTTTCAGGAGGCTGTCAATCTCACTTATTCGGACAAGGATAATGACTCACAGTTGTTTGATTTGAGGCAAAAGACCCATGAATCAACATAAGGTACGCAAAGTGTGACTGTTTATTTCAATGGAATGAGTCGTTTTTGGCAAGAAATGGACCTGTATCAGGACCATGATCGGAAGAATGTGGAGGACAACATGAAATATAAGAGGATTCTTGAGAGAGACAGAGTGTTTGATTCAAGGCAAATGGCTCGGTTGATCGATACAAGGCAAGATTGGTTGCAAAAGGCTTCACACAGACCTATGGGATAGACTACAAAGAAACCCTTGCACCCGTGGCAAAGTTTGGGTTTTACTATCCATAGCTGTAAACTGAGACTAGCCGATGCACCAACTTGATGTAAAAAACGCATTTCTCCATGGAGACTTTGAGGAAGAAGTGTATATGGAGCTACCGCTAGGATTTGAAGGTAATTTTGGAGAAAATAAAGTATGCAGATTAAAGAAATCTCTTTATAGGCTGAAGCAATCCCCACGTGCTTGGTTTGAAAAATTCACCAAGGCTGTCCGTAGTAGAGGATATACGCAAAGCCAAGGAGATCACACGATGTTTTACAAACACAAAGGAGGGAAGTTAACTGTACTAATTGTGTATGTTGATGACATCATTGTGACTGGTAATGATGACACCAAGGTGGACGACCTGAAGAAGTCTCTTGCAAAAGAATTTGAGACCAAGGAGTTGGGAAATCTGAGATATTTTTTGGGAATAGAAGTTGCAAGGTCAAAAAAAAGGAATGTTTCTGTCACAAAGGAAGTATATCCTTGATTTGCTTGAGGAAACCGATCTATTGGGATGCAAACCAAAAGATACTCGTATAGACTTCAACCATAAACTTGATGGTATAACCACAAACCCAATGGTGGAAAATGAGAGGTACCAACGATTAGTTGGAAAGCTCATTTACTTATCCTATACTACGCCTGATATTGCCTATGCCGTGGGAATTGTCAGCAGGTTCATGCACGCTCCTAATCAAGACGACCTGAACGCTTCATTCAGGATCCTAAGATATCAAAGGCACTCCAGGAAAAGGAATTTTATTCTCCAAAAATGGGAATATGGAGATTGAAGCCTACACCGATGCAAACTGGGGAGGATCACTCAGTGATAAACGCTCTACTTCAGGGTATTGTACCTTTGTAAGAGGTAATTTGGTGACATGGAGGAGTAAGAAGCAAACCGCTGAGTTCCGTGCAATGGCTTTGGGAATTTGTGAGTTACTTTGGCTGAAGTCTATTTTAAAAGAACTAAAGTTGCAAAGCAATAATCCTATGAAACTCTACTGTGACAACAAAACAGCCATTAGTATAGCACAGAATCCAGTACAACACGACAGAACAAAACATGTTGAAATCGACAAACACTTTATCGAGGAGAAAATTGAAGGAGGCCTAGTCTGTACCCCCTACATCCGATCTAAAGAACAGCTAGCTGATACCTTGACTAAAGGTTTGGCTAAAGGACAGTTTCAAGAGTCAATTACAAGTTGGGCATGACTGATATCTAAACACCAGCTTGAGGGGGAGTGCGGAAAAACAGATCACCAGAAAATCTGGGATTCTAGGCGTAGTTGACCCCAGGATTCGGATCCAATTTATTCGGAATTATTCCCTGAATAAAGCTGCAAATCTTTGACTTAGTACATTTATTTATTTCCTTATTTATAGCCTAGAGTGTAGCTGTCCTTCTTGTATATATAGGCCTTGTACAATCCGTAAACTATGAAGGAAATTAATAGAATTCAATATTAAAAAGCTTTCCTCACGGTTTAAAACCGCAATGACCGTGAACCCATCAAAACTCCACAATTAAGTGTGTTTATGCTGGAGTAGTACCAGAATGGGTGACCTCCCATGAAGTCTATTCCAGGGGAGCCAAAAGCAGACAATATTGTGTCGGGTACGGTGAAGGCTGTTACATGTCTTCTCCTCCACAGGCTATCCAGCGTCAATATCCTCTCCAAAACTGTTAAGCCAAGGAGCCTAGCTTAAGAGGAGCTTTGGTGCGCGGCACACCACACAACCTTCCAAGGGAAAGCAAGCCCCATAGCATCCAAAATGCATCTATAGAAGAAGTGAACATCAAACCTTCCCTGAGATGGTATTGTCCATACCCAAGAGTCAAACCCATCCCCATCCACCTCCTGGCGGTATAGCAAAGCCAAGAACTCTAAGACGTTCTCCAACTCCCAATCCTACAAATGCCTCACAATATGCACATCTCAAGTCGTCCAACCTCTATCAAGCCAATAACAGTTTACAACTGAGGCCTGTCTATCCATGGCAATCATAAAGATTCTCAGAAAGACGTACGCCAAAGGTCCTGTCATCACACCAAACATCCTCCCAAAAGTCAATATCCCCGCCTCCTCGAATCTTGCACCGAATGTGTTTGGAAAATTCATCCCACCCCTTCATAATGAATTTCCAAACACCCACCCCTATTGGGACCCTCACCTCAAAAGAGCACCAACCACCCCTCTCCTCCCCAAATATATAGCAGATCACCCTCCTCCATAAACTATGTCTCTCCGCTCCATATTTCTTTTTTTTGATAAGTAAATTGCATTAAAAGCGTTCAAAAGGGGAACGCGTCCCAAACTATACAAAGACAAAACGGAGCCTATGAACTCAAAGAACTCATAAAATCAACAATATCCTCAAGAGAGGAGTAGTCTCTCCCCTGACCCCAACAAAACAAATTACAAATGATAGAAAATTTTAACACCCCAATGGAGGATTCCTTCCCCTCAAAAGATCTTCCATTACGCTCTCTCCAAAGGCTCCACCAAATACAAAAAGGGGTCACCCTCCAAAAAACTATGGCCTGAGCCCCCACCCATTGGCCCCTCCACATATCTAACAACTCCCAAGAGGTCCGAGGCATGACCCAATAAATACCAAACAGGCCAAACATCAAACTCCAACAATCATGAGCCACAGGACAGTACAACAAAAGATGATCCACCGACTCCCCATTAATCTTGCAAAGACAACACCTATTAACAATGATATGCCTTCGCTTCCTCAAATTGTCCAAGAAGCACTTTGTTGAAAGGCATCAATATCCTAATCCCCAACCTCCCACATGGATAGGGAATCAAACCTGCTCCCAGCTCACAAGTTGGTACTTGAACTCCTCTCTCAGACTCCCCAGAGAAAGTTTTGTTGAAGCCTCTCGATCCTCCTTTGCTGCCGCAAAAGGAATATGGAAAAGAGAAAGGAAATACGTTGGAAAACTCGACAAAGTACTCTTAATCAAGGTGAGTCAGCCTCCCTTCGAAAGGAACTGCTTCTTCCAACCCGAAGCCTCCTCTCAAACCTCTCCACTCCCGGATCTCAATGCCCACTCTCCTAGACAGCGATCCCAGGGGCAATCCCAAATACGAGATAGGGAAAGATCCTACACCACAATCTAAAATGTAAGCCAAGTCAGAAATCCTGGCAACGACCCCCCACCGAGACCATCACACTCTTCCTCACATTAACCTTCCAGTAAGTGGGAAATCTCAACTGAGGCTCATCTACATCACAAAAAGTAATTGTATCATTTGTGACCAATAATTGGGAAATCTCCAACTAGCTGGAAGGGTCCATGCCCACCTTGAACCCTCTGATAAGGCCGAGCTCCACGACTCTCCTCATCAATCCATCACAATGATGAATAAAAATGGAGACATAGGATCCCCCTGCCTCAGACCTCAGGAGTTGCTAAAGAAGCTTGTCGAAGACCCTTTTAGTAGAACCAAGAACCTCATAGAAGAGATACAGAATTCAATCCACATCCTCTACGTGTCCCCGAAACCCATCCTATTCAAAAACAATCATATAAACAGTAAAATTTCTTTGTAGAGCAAATTCCTTTAGATTCCCTCATGATTCCTCCTTTCTCCACAACTAATCTATAAATGTTTCAGCATGCTTTTTGGGGAATTTCTGCTAGCTGTTACTTTCATGTCTATTAGACGGAAAGAATTAAGAGACCCTACTTGCTTTATATATAGGTATTAAAATTCTTAAATGGCACATGGCAGCGAACTAAAGGTAACCTTTAAAAACAAAGAAAAAATGAAACCTAAATCCTTGTAGCCTCTTAAAGGTATGATCCAATTATTCATTTCTCTAATGGTACTCTATATACTTTCTTTCTAAAGAAACTTCCAAATTCAATCTTTCTTCCAATTATATGTTTTTGTATTACCAAATCATCACTTGGATCCTTCACCTCCTGCAATAAATCTTTCCAGCTAAATACCAAAATATCTCGTAATGCATAAAAGTACACGTGGCAGAATATATATATATATATCATATATTGATAAACATACATATATATATATATATATCAGGGCATTGACCATTTTAATCAATCATAGAAATCTCAATTCCCAAGGATAACCCAAGCATCATAATCACTGACAAAGCTGCATGGAGACACATGACCACAAGTTAAAACTCAATTACATTTAAAAAGTTCAATCATTGAACCATTTGCCCACTAGTTATATGACCATGCATTGATGACAATCTGTGGTATGCTAACTTAACCAGTATCAACTACTGAGTCCCTTAAAAGTTAGTAGTGAAATAAAAAGAAACAGAAACAAAGTGAAGCTTTTAGGAAAGCAAATTAAAATTAGAATTAAAGAAGAAAATAATTAATGTTTATGTACGCTTTGCACACAGAAGACTCAATAGTATGTACTAGGAGAATACAAGAGAAGGAATGAGCTAAAAACAATGGCTACACTTGAGGGCACATATCTTAAATTTGTAAACAACATGAATAGACCAACGTCAATGGAACTATAACACAAATGACCTAAAAAGAACTACTGTGACGAACATAGAAATGAGAAACTTGTTTATGAAATAGCAGATACACAGCACACATCTTCAATACGCACAATAATTCAACAACAATGATTTCTAAAATAATCATTTAAGTGTAGAAATGATGAAGGGCGACTAACTAGGTACTACCAGAAACAACATATTAATATTCCAAGTAAACATCAGCTTACTCTAGTCTTTTCTGTGAAACGAAACTCTGATCACAAAGCAAAGCTGAAACTTTTTAATACTAAAATTTCTAGTTACAATCGGCGTTTCAATATCACTTGCTTTTTTCCATGTATAAGAGATCCCAAAAGGAAAAACTTAAAAATATATGTATGAAGTATCCCAGAAAATAAGACCACAGGCACGGCATCCCTTCCGTGAAAAATTATTTAAATAAATCCAGCAGATGTAAAAATTAAGAACCTTGGCCCTTAATACACATTCAGTATTTATATGCAATTATCATAATCACTTTTACAAACAAGAAGTAAGCCGACATACTTTCATTAGACACATGAAAACTTGCAAAGCATAAATTTCGCACCTAGACAATGCTTATGAACACCATAACGCAAGATAACATTGTTTCCAAGGCCAATCGGCTACCAGCACATGAAGCAAATTCTTATATTTTATACAAAATAAAAACATAATCTAAACAATTGATAAAAGTCATGTCGCAAAGAGCCGGAACAGAATTAATATGGAACAGATTATTACTTTATCCCACTTTTGTTCCCCCAGATTCCATGCATATGCCACACCATTGTCCCCTTCTCTAACAACTTTTGTCTGGCCATCACTGGTTCCTGATCATCATATCATAACGTACATTACAAAATAACACTTGTGACAACAATTTTGCAGCTTTGTTGAAGATTTAACATTAAGATACGGAAAGAGTTTAACATCTCATGTTTTCTAAATTGGACTAATTTTGTTCTCTAGACACAAAACGATTTGCCTTGGTATTGAATAATACAACAATATCAACAGCACATGTTGATTTTAATATAAATCACTTTAATACTTGGACTTCAAAATGAGGAAACCTCTCTTCCATCCAATAATGGGTAAGGCACCATCTATCAGACATTACAATATTAGAACTGGACTTGAGATAACATTGAGTAAATTAGTTCTTGTGTAAGTACAAAGTTAGGATAAACCTGGAATCTGTAAAGCATCTAGCCCTGGTAATTCTTCCAATTTCAATCCTCCAACTCTCTTCCTGATACAAATTACAAAACACAATATGTATATTATTCAAGGGTGACAAGTGGTTGACGTGAAAAGGCCAAACAACTCTTTTCGTGAAAGGTATCTAAAGTCTAAACAAACAGAAAGGTATCTAGAAAAATGTGGGTGTGGGGGGGAGGAGAAGAAAAAAACAGAGGAAAAGAAAGATCTCCATATAGTCCATATAAATAGAATATGGTTGGCTTTAGAAAAGTAAGTCATAGAAACTAAATGTGCAACTAGAACAAACCAACCATATCCCAGCCCTTGTCCAACCTGGTCTTTTGAAAGGCTTAGACAGCTCTTTTTGTGACTTGGATTAGTATTGGATTGAGAACTCCAACCCATTTCCTATTTGGGCTGGGCTTGGGTAGAGATGTAAAGCAACCAAAGCCCAAGTAGAACCTGATTACTATATTGTAAATTAATAATTATCTAAAATATTATTAAACCTGAATTTGGAAAAAATTAAAAAATAAAAAAACTTAGTTTGGGATGGTTGAGTTAAGGGTCAAACTTGAATTAAACCCACCAAGTCGCAACCCTTGTCAAATAGGCAAAATTGACATGATAAGAAACATCTATGAAAACAACTAAGGAAGAAACAAGTAAATTTACAATAATTGTAGGCTTTTATATTCAGAATCAACATATCTTCATACCATAGTTACGGATGAACTAACTAAACTCACTGAAAAACTAAGATTTACGGTGTATAATCCTTACTGTGATGATATTCATTTAATTGGTGAAGATAAAGCAAGGTTAAATTTACATTAGAGATATGGGTGGAAAAACCATAAATTAACAGGATTAAGATATGTAGGACTAGAATTAAATGTACTGAATGTAACTTCAGCATGCTAGGAAATATGAATGGAAAATAGTGAACATTAAAGATCAAGACATACCAAAGGAAACAATGATTCAATACTTGACAGAGTGGAATGACAAAATATGATTCATACCACCAACCACAAGTAGTCGGGACAAGGCTTTGTGGAGTTGATAAACTACCTATATACCAATGTTCATATCATAAAACTATGAGTTGCTGAATGCAGAAACTCGTCTCATGTGTAGGTAACTAGCAAAGACATGAATTCAATTAAAATATACATATATAAGTGTGTGTGTGTGTGTGTATATATATATATATCAAACTCAAATGTGAAGTAAAGAAGATAGTAAGCAAGGCTAAGCAGAACTCGCTAAATGTCTTACAAGAAAAAATTACACACAAAAAAGGCGAAAAACATATCTATAAATTAGCAAAGAATCGAGATAGATCAACTAAAGACCTAAATCAAATTAAATGTACTAAGGATGTCCATAACACAAGATTAGTAAAAGAAAGAGACATATTAATTAGATGGAAAAATAATTTTCAAAACCTATTAGATGAGGAACATCCTAGAGAAGACGTAGAAGGAAATGAAGTCAACATAGGAATGACAAATAAAATCACCAACACATAGGTAGAGGGCACACTAAAGAAGATGGGGAGTAATAAAGTGGTAGGCCCAGCTAATATACCCATAGAACCTTGGAGAACACTAAGTGGTTAACAAAGTTTATTTGACAACATCCTAAAACAAGGCAAGATGCCACATGAGTGGAGGAAGAGTACAATATTACCAATTTACAAAAATAAAGGGCATATACAAAATTGTGGCAACTATAGAAGAATTAAATTAACGAGTCACACAATGGGAAAGGGTAATAGAACAGACTAAGAAAGGAATCCATGGTATCCAATACACAATACAATTCATGCCGAGAAGATCTACATTAGAAGCTAGACAATTAGTTGAATGTAGGATTAAGTAACAAGACTTACATATGGTCTTTATAGACTTAGAAAAAACGTATGATATAGTCCCAAGAGATATAATTTGGCGGGCTCTACAAAAGAAACAAATCCCCTCACAAATCATAAAAGGTATGCAAGATATGTACATGAACAGAAAAGGTAAAGTACACACCACATATGGTGAAACGATTGAGTTCTCCACAAATGTAGGATTGCACCAATGATCGGAACTAAGCCCAATATCTATTTGCTAAAATCTTAGATGAAATAACAAAAGAATTTTTTTTTTTGATAAGTAAGAAATAACATAAAAGGGCATTCAAAAGGGGAACGCATCCCAATTACAAAAGTGGAGCCGGGACTAAGGTCCCAAAGAATCCAAGAAAGTAATTAAATCATCAGAAGAAGAACAAAAGCTCCTCATCACATAATTGAAGAGAAAACGAAGAATGTAAAGTTTGATCATTGCCGTGGACGACTCTTTCCCTTCGAACATTCTACTATTTCTCTCCTTCCAAATGCACCACCATACACAATGTGGTACAATTCTCCAGAAATTTTGAATATCTCTTCTCACTCTACAACCTCTCCAAACATGAATTAACTCCTTAGTAGATCGTGGCATAACCCAACACATACCAAACAGCCCAACAATAAGATTCCAACAATCATTCGCCACAGGGCAATGCAAAAGGAGGTGATCAACGGACTCCTCATCATCCTTGCATAGACAACAACGATTAACGATACAATTGCCCCATTTCTCAAATTATCAATTGTCAGAATCTTTCCCCACACAGCAGTCCAAACAAAGAAAGCCACCCTAGTTGGAGCCATAGACCGCCAAATAGTTTTCCACTGGAAATCTCGATTAACAAAATTTGACAAGCATAAGAACAAGGATCTAACTTCGAAGCGACCGTGGGAAGAAGGAGCCCAAATTAAAACATCGTTACCTCTACCAACGCCCTCCTGCCGATACAGAAGATCCAGAAAAACACATACCTCGTCCATCTCCCAATCCTGAAAAGAGCACCGAAAATGCACATCCCATATAATCTCACTGCTATCAAGCCGATAACAATCAACTACATAGGTATGTTTATCAACAGCAATACTAAATAACCTAGGAAATGTACGAGAAAGAGGCTGATCCCCACACCAGAGATCTTCCCAAAACCAAATGCAACGACCATCATGGAGTTTGAATCTGAAATGAGCCGAAAAAACATCCCGTCCCTTCCGAATAGCCTTCCACTTCCCTACTCCTCCCGCCAGGGTAACCGGACATGTAGACCAACCTCCAGCCTCTTCCCCATACCTACAAGAGACTAACCTGCGCCAAGGACGATGTCTTTCCCTCCCAAATCTCCATAACCATTTACCCAGGAGAGCTTGATTGAAAGGAACTAAACGTCTTATACCAAGTCCACCCAATTTCAGGGGCTTACAAACATCCTCCCGTCTGACCAGGTGGTACTTGAACTCATCGCCCTTTCCTCCCCATAGGAAATCCCTTTGAATTTTTCCAATCCTATCTGCAATGGAACAAGGGATTTGGAACATAGAAAGAAAATAAGTGGGAAGGCTCGATAACATACTCTTGATAAGAGTAACTTTACCCCCTTTTGACAAATATTGCTTCTTCCAACCTGCCAATCTCTTCACATACCTGTCAATCACGGAATCCCAACTCCCCACTAACCTTGAAGAGACCCCTAGGGGCAGACCCAAATAAGGAATAGGGAAAGAACTCACCCTGCATCCAAGGACTGCAGCTAAAAAGGAAATATCCTGAACATTCCCTACTGGGACAAGCACACTCTTAGCCACATTGACCTTAAGCCCGGAAACTGCCTGAAAACAAGTCAATACACACCCCAAGTATCGAAGTTGAGAAACATCAGCAACGCAGAAAACCAGGGTATCATCTGCAAAGAGTAGATGAGAAATCTCCATCTGATGATCTAAATCTCTACCTACCCTTAAACCTGTTATAAACCCAAGATCCTCTGCCCTGCGCATAAGTCTACTTAACCCCTCCATAACAACAAGAAAAAGGAAAGATGACAAAGGATCTCCTTGTCTTATACCCCTAGAGCAACCAAAGAAACCAGCGGGAGAACCATTCACAAGAACTGAGAACTTGACAGACGAAAGACAGGTCTCGATCCACTTCCTCCATTTACTTCCAAACCCCATTCCTTGTAACAAATATAGGAGGAAATTCCAATTCACATGATCATATGCTTTCTCAATATCAAGTTTGCATAAAACTCCAGGAATACCACTCCGCAATCTGGAATCCACACTTTCGCCAGCAATAAGGACTGAATCAAGAATTTGCCGTCCACCTACAAAAGCGTTCTGAGAATCCGAAATAATCCCATCCATAACTTCCCTCATCCTTAAAGCAAGAACCTTAGCAATAAGTTTGTAAATACAACCCACCAAGCTAATAGGACGAAAATCCTTTATATCTGAAGCGCCTCCCTTTTTTGGGATAAGGGCAATGAATGAAGCATTAAGCGATTTCTCGAAAACGCCAGAAGAATGAAACTCCTGAAAAGTACCCATTACCTCATTTCTTACAACCGCCCAACTTTCCTTCAAAAATCGCATAGTAAAGCTATCAAGTCCCGGAGCTTTGTCCCATTACAACTTGATAAAGCTCTAAGAACTTCTTCTTTAGTGAAAGGATTCTCAATCCTCTCTCTATCAAACTCAGAAATAGCCTCAAAATGGAGACCATCAAGTTTGGGCCTCCAGACTAAAGGCTCAGTATAAAGCTTCTAATAATAAGAAGCAATACCGTTCCGCACCTCTTCCTCTCTCCACAACTCCTCACCATCCACCCGAATTCTTCCTATATGATTACTCCTCCTATGAGCGTTAGCTAACCGATGGAAGAATTTTGTGTTCCGATCACCTTCCTTTAGCCAAAGAGCCCGAGATTTTTGACACCATGAGATCTCCTCCATACTAGCAATCTCAGCAAAAACCGCTTGACAAGAGGCTCTCCTGGATCGTAGAAGTTCCACATCCCCCCCGCCTCCTCAAGATGATCAAGCTCAGAGAAATCAGCAAGAACTCTATTCTTCCTCCATCCCAGATTCCCGAAGACATCCTTGTTCCACTGCTTTTGAGCTAATTTGAGAGCCCTTAACTTCTTTGTAATGGTGAAACTGGGCGATCCTGAAACAGTAACTCCCTCCCACCAAGATCTGACTTTCCCTTGGAAATCTTCCGCACGCAACCACATATTCTCAAATCTAAACGGGGATCTTTGAGAACATAAACCCCCACAATCCAAGACCAAAGGAACATGATCAGAGGTAACTCTTTCTAACACCGCTTGAACAACATCCGGGAATTTCTCTTCCCAATCCCCAGAAATTAAGAATCTGTCCAGCCTTGAAAGAGTGATTGGATCCCTACCATTTAACCAAGTATAAGCTGCTCCTTCCATCGGTAAATCAACAAGAAGATGCTCATCAATAAAATCAGAAAAGTGATCCATTTCCAAAGATCTTCTCCCCCCTGTAGACCTCTCTGACGGGGACCTAACAGCGTTGAAATCCCCTCCCAGGCACCAAGGGGAAGACCACAATCCTTGGACATGGCAAAGCTCCTCCCAAAAGATAGGTCGCTCATCATCAACAACCGGTCCATAGACTCCAGTAAAAACCCACTTGAAGTTGTCCTCTTCCATCTTAAGCATACAAGATACAGAAAATCTCCCCATCCATACGTCCGTTCGAGATAACCACCTATTATCCCACATAACAAAAGATTTTCAAAACAAGATTCCTTGGTGCATAATGTTTGCGGATGATATAGTGCTCTTAGACACATCTAAAGAGAACCTAGCATTGAGAATTAGCCGAACTAAAACCAAGTATAAGGAGTGAAATTTTAATAAAGATTCCATCATTGATATTATAATATTAACACTTCAGACCCAAAAAAAATTACTCAAAACAACCATTTTCAATATCTAGGATCGATAATACAAAAGGATGGAGATAAAAGAATACCACATAGGATCAAAGGAAAATTTTATAGGACCGTTGTTAGATCGACTATATTGTATGGAGCGGAGTGTTGGCCCTAAAAAAGAAACCAGGGCAACACCTTTATGTAGTGGAAATGAGAATGCTAAGATGGATGAGCAGAGGGACTAGGAGAGAAAGGGTAACTAAAGAGAATGTGAGAAAAATTAGGGGTGGCTCCCACTAGAGAGAATGAATGAGAATGCTAGTTGTGATAGAAGATAAGGGACGGAAAAAACAACCAAAAATAACAGGTTATTAAAAATGATTTTTAAAAAACTAAATATAGTAGGTGAAATGGCATGTAATAGAAAGGATTGGAGAAAGAAAATTCATGTGGCCGACCCCATTCATATGGGATTAAGGCAAAGATGATGATGATGACGATGATGATGATGATGTGTGTGTGTGTGTATTACAGGCCGAACACCTCCAGAAAAATATGTTACAAGATTAGTAGTTGAATGACTCCTAAAAGAAAATGCTTAATATAAAAGGCAACTATTTAAAAGATTACTATTTAAAAGACTCCTAAAAGAAAATGCTTAATATATAAGGCAACTATTACACAAGAATGATTACTTCTACTTCACCTCGATAGTGAATGGTTATTATTAGCCGAGATATGATAGCCTAGAATCATGGGATGTGACTTACCATATTAGTAAAGATATGATAACCTAGAATCATGAAAATTGGCTCAATTTACTCACAAATTTAGGCAAAATAGTTGACTTTTTGGACTCTATTGAGAGTGTAGAGGCTTTTTGGCCTGGTGTAGCTTTTTTGGGATGTGTTTCCCATCTGAACGCTTTCTAACACTATCTTACTTTTAATTTTTAAAAAAAAAAAAGTTAGGCATAGAATCTGCAGTGATTTTATTTGGTTTCCTTTCTCTGTAATATACCAGAGCTGTGAATGAGTGATTATTCTCATTCAAGTCTACATATGTCTCTTGCATTTCTTCTTTGTATCAGAGCCATCACCTTTTCACAATGGATGACCCAAAACTTATGGGCCATAAGATTAACCATTATAAAATTAATTGGTTTTACACTTTAAACTACCAATTGATAAATAGCATACCTGCTGCCCTTGTACTGAGAAAGTTGAGAAGAATATGACTCGAGGTCCAGCAAGTCAGCTACCCTATCCTGATGTACTGTCCAAATACGCACAACTCCATCAGAACATGCTGTCACAAGATCACCATTATCCAAAAATTTGGTATCCCAAACACAACCAGGATGCTCTATGCTCTGAACACAAACTCCATCTGAACAGAACAAGATTTTCCCGGTAAAGAAACAATGATTCAATATCTAAATCTCATGATTAATGAAAACAAAAATTAAAACTTCAGCACTTCGTGATTACAAACTAATTCATTACAGGCAGTCAGGAACAGAATTAGTATCAATGTCAAGATGGAACTATGGGTACTTTCTAATTATTTCCAATGGCAAGGATGAAATAGTTGAAACATTTTGCTCCATAAACAGGCCTGCTAGTGTGATTGTTGGAAGGAAGCTTATAGAAAGCTTTTCCTGAAACAATAGTTCTACTACTACTATGTAACTATGCCATCTAACATTAATCATATCCTAATCAGTCATCTCAAGAAACCATTTCAAACCGAAAAGATAGTATTACTTATTATAGAAGCTTAAGGAAGTGCATGACAATCAATCTAGCTTTCTCAAGCATTGCAGTACCAAACCAAAAGCCTAGTCAAAAAATAAAAATAAAGGCCTCCACAAATTTTAATTAGCTAAACAAGCTTGTGCCCACCAAAAATATAATATTTAGATTCAAAACCAAACCCATAACCTTTCCAAGAAGTCGACAAGTTTTTTTTTTCAAAAGATAAAAAATTTAAGAAGATCAAGGCAGAATATCAATAACCTTTCCATATCTTTGCAAAACAATCCTCACTTCCACTGACAATAAGCCCAGAAGCATGTGAATCAACAGAATAGACAATAGAAGTGTGACCAACCATCTCCATTAAAACTTCTCCACTAATTGCCCATAACCTGATAGAACTGTCATCATAAGACCCCAACAAGAATAATTAGTAAATGACAAAATCTAACACGAGGACAAGAATGTTATCTATACTATGAGTGAACTAGTGAAGTGGAGTAGAGTATCTTTGCAATCATCACCAGAAAAGTGCTCCTAAAATCATAGCAAATAAGTCTCTTTATCTCTCTTTGTCCGCAGAACGCACGCACATATATAGTTGATATACATTATATTTGAAATACACACTCATAAATCTTGTTCTTTATTTATCTCCTTTTGTATCATGTTTTGTACACAAACACCAAGCACGCATATATCTTAGAGAAACAGACCACAACTTGGATATTTCTTGCTGTGAACTTTATCAGTATCTGTCATTGTGATTTTTATTTGATTTTTTTTTTTTCACCAACCGTTCTAGGATTTTAAATTAGTTGCTCTTGTATCTGTTTTATTGTAATATTCATCGGTATTTGTATCCATTGATTCAGGATTTGTTTGATTTACAGTAGATTACAGTTTGATCTGCAAATTCTAAAATTTATGGGCAGTGTCGAAGATATCATATTAAATTTCTAATAATTGATTGCAATCAAAAACCTTATTTGTTGATGCACTTCAGTTTCCTGATGTGTAATGAACACATGATATTTTATATACACACACACACACACACATATATTGCTTATTCATAGTTACTTGGTAAAAGGACTATAAAGAATCTGGCTGTAAAAGAATTCATAAATTCAGGATATTTGACTGTATCATTGCCCATACCCAAGGTTCGACGGGATAAGAAGTGGATTTGTGACAAGTTTACAGTCAATTGTATAATTATGTAAAATATTTATTATACATTATTATTCTAATGGAAAAAAATAAAAATAATAAAAAAGACCATAAAACTAGATATGAACATTAACCAACTTGTGGACACTAAATGAAAAGGATAAGTTGAAAGAAAATGGAGAAGTATATAATATTTTTCTCAAGTGATAATGATAACCACAGGAATGGGGTAGGTGAAGTAGTAGACCACTATATGAAACGAAGTTGCAGAAGTTCAAAGACAAGGAGATAGATCCATAGTTATTAAAATTGTAATATCTACAAGTGTATTGAATATAATACATGCACGTGCTCCATAGGATGCCTAAGACGAAACTATAAAAGATATATTATGTAAGTCATTAGATGAAATAATACAATATATAACTAGTCATGAAATTATTTTTATAGAAGGTGACTTTAGTAGACATGTGGGAGTTAAGCGAACATGAAACAGAAAAATTCATGGAGGACATAGTTTTAGAGAAAGATACGAGACAAGGGAAACATTCTTAGATTTCGTAAAGGCATATGACTTAGCTATAGCAAATACACAAGAAGAGAAGAGAAAAGAAAAAACATTTAATTACATTTAAAGTGGCATGAATAAATCATAAATTGATAATTGTTTAAATAGAAGAAACAAATGGGTCTCATGAAAAGATTGTAAGGTAATTCTAACAGAATCTAGCAAACCAAAGTCCACTATTAATATTAGACTCGTTGATCAAAGGATCTAAATATCAAAAAATATAAAAATAACATTAGAATTTAAAAGGTGGAAAGAACTGAAAGATAACAAAGAGATAACACAGAGGAAAAATATTCCAGGAAACAAAATGGAATTGGAATGCGAACATAAATAATTTGTAGTCAAAATTATAGATTATATTAGGCATATCGTGAAGGAAACTTTGGGAGAGACCAAAGAGAAGAAATTCATCAAGCAAGAAACATGGCGGTGGAGTAATGAAATACAACAAGTAATACAAAATGACAAAATGGAATGGAAATGAAGTAACAAGCAAAAAAAATTAGAAAAACATAAGAAATTATAAATATGCTAAGAAGAGGGTTAATAATACTAAATAAAATGCATTAAATGGTTGTAATGAAAATTTAGGTGTAAAAGAGGGTGAAAAAACTATTTGCTAGTTGGAAAAAAGTAGATGAAAAAACTATTTACAGGTTGGCAAAAAGTAGATTTTGGTTAATTAAAAATATGGATCAAGTTAGATGCATTAAGAACATAGACCAAACAATATTTGTTAAGGGGAATGATCTAATTTAATTGTCACCGCCTGGCCTCTCTTGCTACTATTGGGCCTATTCTCTTTGTTAATCACCTCTTGCATTCTTGCTAATTGTTCTTTTTCTCCAACTCATAATAAAATGGTAACATTAATAGAATTGAAATTTCAACAGATATTAAATAGGAAATATCATAGAGATTAAGGAAAGAATCCAAATCCAATAAACAATTTGGATTTATGCTAGAAAAATCCACTGGGGAAACCATCTACTTAATAAGACAATTAGTAAGAAATTGTACAAGTCAACAAAAGATTTACACGTGATTTTCATAAACTTAAAGATGGCATGTGGACCTTACAAAAAATATGGATTCCTTAAAAACTAATAAAAATTATTCAAGATATGCATACAGATACAAAGACTGATGCGAAGAAAGAGATGGAAAATTTACCCGTCATGTGATGCAGAAAGAATTCCCAAACCAGGCATCACAGCCAAGCCTCGAACCGTATCTGCAAAAGAACTTATTGAAGCACATGCATTGACAAAATCCTTCAAGTAAGCAAAAAGACGAAATAATTCATGTAATGTTGACCTCTAAAAAGTTTAGCCACGATGAATCACCCTATAAAAGTGGTAGTCTGGGAAGTTGGGGAGAGAAAAGACCAAGTTAGCACTACTCAGGATAGACAAAGGATAATAGAACGTGAAGACTGTCTCAGAGTGAATGAGTCTCTTCTGATAGGGGTATTCAACCCTCTTGTACTCACACCCACCCATCAATTCTTTTGTACTCCTCAAATTAACTGCATAAGAAATATCTGGTCTTGTGATTGTCAAATAAACAAAGCTCCCAACTGGTCGTCTATATGTCGAAGGATCAGAGAGTAGTTGGCCTTAATCTTTTTTTAAACTTGACATTAATTTCAAGTGGAGTATGTACTGGAGTTGAGTGCTCGAGTCCAGCCAAAGCAATAAGCTTTTTGGCATATTTGTGTTTATTAATAAAAATTCCATTACGTGACTGATGCACTTCAAGGCCTAGGAAATACATGAGGTTTCCAAGATCCTTCATGTGGAATGAAGAGTGTAAAGAAGCCAGTAGTTGTTAAATGCCTACTATATCTGTACCAGTGATGATGATGTCATCCACATATACAAGGAGAATGGTGATACCAGTTTCACGACGACTAAGAAACATAGAAGGATCATTGGTACTCTGATTAAAGCCAAATTGACAAATAGTGTTACCAAACTTTTCAAACCAGGCTCGTGGCACTTGTTTCAGGCCATAAAGAGACGTCGTAGATGACACACATCTGATGTGGAATTGCTTCTGACACCAGGTGTAAGTCTCATAGAGACTTCTTCTTTCAGATCACCATGTAAGAAGGAATTTTTTTTCATCCATTTGAAAAAGAGGCCAAGATTGAGAAGTTGCAATAGCAAGCACTGTACGAACCGTTGTCATTTTTGCCACAAGAGCAAAAATCTCTTCATAATTAATCCTAATCTCTTGCCAATTCCCGAGAGCGACCAAACGAGCTTTATATCGATCTAAGGAACCATCAGATCTAAGTTTAACAGAGTAAACCCATTTGCAACCAATTGGTTTGTGACCAAGAGGACAAGGAACAATATCCCAAGTATGATTCCTCTATAAAGCTTCCAATTCTTCCTTCATAGCTTGTTTCCAACATGAATGTTGTATGGCCTGTGAATATGAGTTGGGAATATATTTTGATGACAGAGTGGTCATGAGAATTAGGCGATCGGGAGGTTTGGTTTGGCGAGTTGATCTTCAAAGAGGAGGTGGTTGTGGACTTGGATCAGGAGATGGAGAGGAGTCACGATTAGGACCTTCTTCTGCACCTATTGTTGTTTTACCTCGTCGCTTATAAACCAACCTAGGTTTAAACCTTGTGAAAATGGAAGGATTACTACTAAAGTCATGAAGATAAGAAAAGGAGGACAGAGGACAAGGGACATGAGTATTTTGAAAGAAATATTGTTTTTCAACAAAGACAACATTATGAGAGGCACGAATGCGACGGACAGAAGGATCATAACACAAAAAACCTTTTGATGAGATGCATGCCCAAGAAATGCACAACGAGCAGATTGCGCAGATAATTTGTTTCAATCTTTTGCAGGTAGATGGACATAACAAACACAACCAAAAACACGCAGTTGGTTATAGTTGGGATGAGCTTGATGCAAGAGAAAATATGGAGATTGATGATGAAGCTTTGGAGAAGGCAATCTATTGATAAGATGACCAGCTGTGGAAAGTGCTTCCACCCAAAATAAGAGGGTACTGATACATCAAGAAGTAGGGTCCGAGTAACATCCAAAAGATGCCTATTTTTCCTCTCGGCTACTCCATTTTGTTGAGGAGTAGATGGACAAGTTCGCTGGTAAATGATTCCTTCATTTTGAAGATAATTTTGAAATTCATTTTTCATATATTCGCCTCCGGAATCGGAACGAAGAATTTTGACGGATGTGGAAAATTGATTTTTTAGGTAAGCCAAAAATCGCTTAAAGACAAAAAAAAAAAACTCCAGATTTAGAATGCAAAAAATAAATCCATGTGTGTCGACTATAATCGTCGCTGAAGGAAACAAAATATTTGTAACTTGAATGAGAGGGAAATGGAGCATCCCCCAAAACATCAGTATGAATCAAATCGAAGCATTTTGTAGTAATATCACCATGAATTTGAAAAGGAAGAGTCTTACTTTTACCCAATTTACAACTACTACAATCAAATGAGACATCATTGAAAGAAACAGGGTATTTATTAGAAAACAAACCGGATTTCAACAAGAACAACAATCTTTTGGCATTAGGATGCCCCAATCGTTTATGCCACATCTGATATGACGTACAAGAAGAAGGACAAAATAACGAAAATAAAGCTTTACTCCTGGGATGCTAAACAAGCTTAAAGGAAACAACCTTCCACGTTTAGGTCCCTTACTGATCACTTTCCCCGACTCTTGATCCCACACAATACGTCCAGATGTAGAAAATGAGACTTTGCAGTTGTTATCAACCAATTGACCTACAGATATAAGATTAGAGGTCAAACGTGGTGTATGATAGACATTATGTAATGGCAAAGAATGAGGGATATCACCAACTAACTTAATGGGAAGATGTTCTCCATTAGCAGTATGAATTTGCACATGTCCCACATATGGTTTCACATTAGTGAGATGTGTTGAGGAAGAAGTAATGTGATTGGAAGCACCAGAATCAACATACCAAATAGATGAGGAGGTAGTTTTACCTGTGAGACCAAGAGCAGAAAATGCATAATGAATCATTTGTTGCACTACCTCTGGAGTTAAGGAACTAGAAGCAGTAAAAGCTTGAGGAGGCTGCATAGTCGTAGCAGCAGAGAGAGAACCCACTGCGGTGGTAGCATTGAAAGCCCGGGATGTTCGATTTTGAGGTCGCTTACGACAATCAACAATCAAATGTCCAGACTTCTTACAGTAATTGCAGAATTTTTTCTGACACTGATTGGCTATATGCCCAAATTCCTTACAACTATAACATTGTATTTTGCTCAAATCCCTTCCTTTAGCCTGAGCTGCTTAAGCTACTTCCAGTGGATTAGCGCCAACACCCCCTTTTGTTCAATTGCAGCTTGAGCCAAACAACGTTGTTCTTTTCGGAGAAGTTCACCAAAGCACATATCCAATGATGGAGAAGGATCTCTAGCCATCAGATTTGAGCGAATGGATTCAAAATCACATCTCAATTTCATAAGAAACTGATCTCTTTGAGTAATTTCATACACTTTTTGAAGAGATGGTAGCCCCTCACTTGGGACAGTAGCATAAATTAGTTGCTTATATTCAGCCCAAAGATTCATGAATCCAGAATAGTAGTCTTGAATTGACATATTCCCTTGGGAATATTCAGTTATGTTCAATTCAAGCTGAAAACGCCTCATAGAGTTTTCTTGATTGTAAACTTTTTTTAGATAACCCCACGTATCTTTAGCATTGGGCTGCAAATTGAGTACAATATTAGAATCTACTGAGCTTAAAATCCAACTAATTATCTTGGCATCATTAAACTCCCATTTAGCTATGCTAGCATTTTTAGTCCCAACTTTTGGTTCTGGGATTGAACCATCTATATGTCCCCACAATTCTTTCCCTTTAACAAACATACGGAATTGAAACTCCCAAGATAAATAATTCTTCCCATTAAATTTGATGGGCAAGATTTCTGACTTTTCTGACATTCTAAAAAAAAAAACTTCAAAAGAGACTCAAACAAAAGAGAAAAGATGAATGAGAACCTGAGATGATGCTAACTGCAATTTTTTACTGCAACTCAAACCAAGATTGTCACCAAAATGCTGCAACTCCTTAGAAACAAGACACCATAGTTTTTAACAAAAACTGTAATGTATCTTATCAAAAGAAACTTAGAACGTCTTTTGTATCAAGCTAGGCTCTGATACCATGACAAGACGAAGAGAACAAAGAGAATTTCTAGAGATAACTTGTCTTCTTTCCCTTCGGAAGACTTCCTTTATATAATAATATTTACTATTCCATACAAGGAATGCTTACAACAATCATATCCCAAGATTTTGGGTATCCACAAATAATATTCCTAACTACAAGCAATCTGTAAATCATCTGAATTGGAATGGAATCCCTACTTATAAGCTATCTTACAACTCATCAAATCATCTAATTTTGGTATGCAGATCACCTCCTCTGATACCTCTGATATCTAGGCCACGTATTTGGACTGAGAAAGAAGGTACCCTTACGAGAAGAGGCAACTTCAATGCCAAGAAAATGGCAGTGTGGACTAAGATCTTTCATCTCAAACTATTGTTGCAAACAGCTTCAAGAGAGCAATACCATCTGTTTCATCACCAGTCAAAATCATTAACATATATGAGGAGAGTAATAGAACTAGCAGAAGTAGAGTGAAGAAAAAGAGTTGAGTCATGATCACTAGGATGAAAGTGCAAGTCACATATCAATGTATAGAGAACTTCCTAGACCAAGTCCTAGGAGCTTATTTGAAACTATACAACATATTTTTGAGTTTACACACCTCCCAAGGACTGTGGGAAAGACCAGTAGGAGGAGCTATATAAACTTATTTGGCCAAACCCCTATTTCAAAAAGCATGTTTGACATCCATCTGCAAAAGGCCCCAATGACGAATAGCTGCGACAACAACCAATGTGCATGTAGTCATCAACAGGTTCAAAAGTCTCATAATCTATACCATACTCCTCTATAAACCCCCTTGCAACCAGGCAAGCTTTATACCTCTTTACGGAACCATCAGACTTGGTCATAATTTCAAAGACCCACCTAGAACCAACTGCACGCTTATCAGGAGATAAAGGCACCAAGTCCCACGTACCAGTCTTATGCAATGCAAAAAAAAACTCCTCATCCATTGCTAGTTATCTCTAAGGATCAAGAACAAGCCTCCTTATAGGAGTTAGGTTGAAAAAGAGCATGAACAGATGCCAAAAAGGAAAAAAAATTAGCAAAATGATAAGAATTAAGGAAACCAAAACCTTCAAGACACTTAAAACACACTAAGATAGCGAGGAGGTGCAGGATCCACAGTGTGAATTAGCTGAGAGAGATAGAGAAGATGTACCTACAGAAGAGACGGTTGCATTCCTAAAGATTTAGGCGGTGAATGTCATTAAGTGCCTTTCTTGATCTGCTACAATCTGATGGCATTCTGCAGCCCTCCTGTGCAGAAACTCCTTAGTAAAATGGCATTGCTAAGCGAAAGCATAAGCACATCATGGAGATTGTCTGTTCTCTTCTGTTATCCGCTAGTGACCCTAGTATCTTTTGGATGGAAACTATTCTTATCGTTCATATTATACCAACTGGTATTACATCTAGTATTTCTCCTTTTGAATATTTATGTGGCAAGCCTCTTGATTATTTCTCATTGAAGGTTTTTGGTTCCATCTGTTTTGTTCTTCTTGCTAAAGTTATATTTGCTTGTTCTGCTACATGTGTCGTCTCTCTTGGATATGGTGAGGGACGAAAAGGATATCGATATTATGACTTGTATATGTTTTGTTATGTGGTGTTCCTCGAGCACATTCCTTTCTTCTCTCTTCCAATTACTCTTAGTATCCTAAGTAAATCTGACATACTCCATATTGATCCCTTTCCTGACATACTCCATATACCATCTCCACCACCTATTCTTCCCTTGGCTATTGTTCCACCACCTATTATTAATACCTACTCTCGCAAATATATTTGTCTCTACTGCCGGTACATGTGTCTCTCTCGTCTGATTCTCCATTGCATTCTGACAATGTGGATATCGCACCTCACTACATAAGTGTCCTGATCGCTTTCGTTTTTCTAGTTCTTGTTATTCTACAATTTTTTGTTCCTTTTTAGCATCTATTCATTCTCTTTCTGAACCTACTCCTATAAGGAGGTCGTTGATGATCCTCATTAGTAACAGGCAATGGATGAGGAGCTTTCTGCTTTGCATAAGACTCGTAAGTGGGAATTGGTGCCTTCACCCCTAATAAACTTGCAATTGGTTTCATGTGGATCTATAAAATTAGGACCAAGTCTGACGGTTACGTAAAGAGGTATAAAGTCCACCTTGTTGCTTGGGGATTCACATAGGAGTACAACATTGACTATGAGGAGACTTCTACTCCTATTGCCAAAAAGACCATTGTTCTCACCTTAACTCTTGTTGCTACTATTCGTCTATGTAGCCTTTCAGAAATGGATGTCAAAATTGACTTCTATAATGAGGATTTGGGAAGTTTATATGGTTCCACCTCCTGGACTTTCTCATAATCCTAGGGAGTTGTGCAAACTCAAAAAAGCATTGTATGATCTCAAACAAGCTCCTAGGGCTTGATTTGAGAAGTTTGTACAGTGTTATGTGACTTAGGCTTTCATCCAGTGATCTTTGATTCAACTCCTTCTCTAGTTGTATTATTCCCCTCTGGTTGTATCATTCTCTTCTGATATATTGATGACATGATTCTGACTGGTATTGACACAAATAGCATTGCTCTCTTGAAGTCACAATTACAGCAACAGTTCGAGATGAAAGATCTTGGCCCTCTTCACTATTTCCTTGGCATTGAAGTTGCCTCCTGATGTAGGACAAAGGACAGGCTCAAATAGAAGAAAGTAAATAAGAGTTATGAGCTGCAAATTCAGGAACAAAGCTAAGATTCGGGGTTGTTAGTAGAAAAGAAGGATTGAAATTAACAAAGAACAGCCTATTGGAATCACTCCAATAGGACCTAGGTATCACACCTAGAGAAGGCCTCACACCCTCAAAATTTGTGAATCACTCACAAAGAAATCTCAAAGGATAATTTTATTCAATCATTCGCTGAGTATTCAGAGTTACATAGTATCCTTTTTCTAATAAAGACGACCCTTGGATTACCCTACAATGGAGGTAATCAAAAGTTGACTCTAACTTAATAAAGTAACAAATAACTTAATTGATGCAATTTAATCTAATTATGCAATTTACCAAAACAAGATAATCAAAAGTTGACTCTAACTTCATAAAGTAACAAATAACTTAATTGATGCAATTACCAAAATAATGAAATTTGACCAAACCCCCTAATTATGCAAGACTCCAAGTGGACCCCCCATCGTCTAGCATTTGCCAAATTAAGGTTTGACCCTTAGAACCCTCCTTGCCACACCTTTTATATACTTTAAAAGGCTGATGTCACTGTTCTCTACCACCTCCTCTCCTAAAAGCTATCCTTTCTCAATCCATGTATGCTTTGGATGTTACTCATAAACCTCATCACACAGATTCACGGACAGTTGAGACTCCCCTAGAGCTCAATGTTTGTTACGCTTCTTCTCTGATGGTATTCCCTTGGCTGATTCTACTTTGTATCAAGTTATAGTTTGAAATTTAGTGTATCTTACTGCTACTCTGCCATACAGCCTTTCTCAAAACCAATAATTTAAAGATCCAAGGTAGAAGTATTAAAAGATTAGAAGTATTAAAAGATTTAAAGTAACATCACCTCCAACTTAGTGCAAGGAATTCAACTTAGTAAAACAATTAGAAAAAGAAAAAAAGTGGGGGGGGGGGGGGGGGGGGGGGGGGGGGGCACGAGGCTCCCGCCATTGCAAGGTCTGAGGAGTCAAATGTACGCAGCTTTACCTTCGTATGCGAAGAGGCTATTTCTTGTTTCGAATCCATAACCTCCCGGTCATAATGGAGCAACCTTATCGTTGCACCAAGGTCCACCCTCAACAATTTAGTAAAACAATATTCCTATTAAAAATGCTTTTTGCCAATCCCAAGTCTTGACATATTATAATTGAACAAATTTATAAACGGAAAGGAGAAAGTTTCCTTCTTCTTTTTTCCTAGTTGGAACTTACAATTCCCACCCCCCCCCCCCCCCCTCGCTCTCTCTCTCTCTCTCTCTCCCCCTCTTTCTCTCTCAAAGGAATTGTTTGCACCTAGCAGGAATCGATCTTGAGACCTGATGCTTCATGAGGCACCAGGGACCAAGTCTTTTCCAACTAGGCCAACCCCTTTAGGTTGAGAAAGTTTCCTTTTTCTGCAAGAATTATTAAAAATTATAAATTCTAAAAGCAAGAATGTGTAATCAGAAATATTCAAAGGAAATATAATCATGTAGAAGAATGAGGCACAACAAACCTATATCTCAGGAAAAATGTGCCATTGAAAAAATATAATTTAAAAAACAAAAGTGTGCAATCAGAGTTATTCATCTCATGTAGAACATGGCAAAGCATACCAGTATGTCCGACAAAAGTGTGTGCACATGTCCTTCCTCTCCAAAGCTTTAATGTTGTGTCACTTGAACCTGGATTGCAATAGGAAGCAGTCAATATCTTCTATTCATATCCAAAGCAACTTGAAGTAAGGTATCCTAATGCAATATCCCTTACTTTCAGCTTCAGCAAAAAAGCTCTTTAATAGTTTGACAAGGTTTATAAAGTATAGAACATGGACTAAAGTAGATGGTTGAGATAATGAATAAGAAACAGATCCAAAAATTCGAAGGTTTGGGGGGAAGTTAACAAGAGAGACAAGGAGAAAATCCTCTGCAGTAAGACCTCAAAATCCATAGTTAGATAATGTTCGAATTACAAACTATACCTGTTACAAGCTCGCCTGAAGGCAACTTTATAACTGCCTGAATTGCTGCCTTATGAGCCTCCCAAGCATCAATAGTTTGAGTTTTCTTCCACCGTCTTAATGTACTACACAGTACCAGAAAGAAACAATATTGAGCATTGTGTAAAAGCAGCAAAATGGCCAAACAATCAAGAAGCAAGCAAATAAATACCAATATTAATGGGCAGCAGAGTAGTTGTATGCCTCCAGCAATCAACCATAAGCAAACTACAGCACATAAAAGTAGCACGAAAGAGACTCATACAGCAGCATTTTACATTAATTAAATCAAAACCTTAGCAAAGTAAATTAAACCATTGGCGTCACTACCTATATTAGTTACATTTATATTTTTACCCTTCTCAAAATTTAGCCTTTTTCTTCTGTTTTTTTATAAGTAAAATATCATCAACAGCATCCAAAATAGGTAACCCATGTGTAAGGGTACACAGAGACTATACAAAAGACAAAACAAAAAATCAAAAGTAAAAGAAAATTATATATCATCCAAATGACTCCAGAAAAGAATCTAAAGACACTGGAGGCCTCCCCCCACCCACCCCAAAAAAAAAAAAAAAAACAGGGAAGCACCCATCATCAGAACTTCAATTTCTACATGGAACCCTTCACCTCCTAAAAAATAGCAAATATTGCTCCTTCCAGACATTCCACATCACAAGGTTATCTTTCAGATTCTCCCATCCCTTCTTTGCTTGCAATCCCCTTGCGATGAGCAAACCAATCTTTTAGCATTCCCGCCAAAACCGTACAATACCACAAGAGGAAAAGAGAATGTACCATAGTTCCCTCACAGTGAAGAAGCAAATAATTTACACTCTCCCCGACCCTTTTGCACCAGCAACAACAATCCACAAGAACGTACTTTTCCCTCTTCGGTTTATCACTAGTTACAATAGCTTCTCAAACTGATCTTAACAAGAAACACCTCCTTCAAGAGACCTTTGGGTGCCCAATTGCCCTGCAACGGAAATCTGGGGCCCATCTATAGCATAGAAGCAACGAGTAAAAAAACATTGTAATTCTCCCTCAGCCATTCCAATAAATTGCATCCTCCCCCTACCCTCTGAGGCTCTGAAATAACATCTGGCTATCACAAATAAAACCACCTTACCTGAAATCTAGGCAACTTGAATTCTCCTTGCCGCATGCTGAGACCAGAGATGGTTAAATTGAAAGTCTTTCAAAAGTTCGTGGGTAAATTCTATGGGTCAGCACAAGGAAGATGAAATATATAAGACGACAAACACAATCTGGGGTTGTAATAGGGATCAGATTATGGATAACCTGCTAGTCAACTTACAAAGTTTTTAAGTTAGAAGAAGATTCCAGACTGAGAAAAATGAAGAAACTTAGAAGGTTTGAAAGAAGGCTAATCATTTCATTTCTCAGATATTGTGCAAAGAATAGAAAAACAATTTTAACAATCAAAAGCTTCCTCCTTGAAAGATTAAGAAGCCCTCATTGATCCTTCTAAGGAAAGGAGACTCCTATAGGGACTTTAAAGTTTTCCATCATTAGCACCCTTTTTTGTTGGGTTCTGTGTAGAAATTGTAAATCCATAGAGGAGATTATTGGTCTTTTGGACTCTCTGAACTCTTTTTTCTAATGCACATATAGAAACTCCTATAGGGACTCTTTGGACTCTTTTGAACGCTTTTTCTGATGCACATATTACTTATCAAAAATAAATAAAAGAGAGAGAGAGAGAGAGAGAGAGAGAGAGAAGTGAAGAAACTTAGAAGGCTTGAAAGAAGGCTATTCATTTCATTTCTCGGAAAATATGGAAAGAATAGAAAAACAATTTTAACAATCAAAAGCTTCCTCCTTTATATATTAAGAAGCCCTTGTTGTACCTTATGTTTTCCGAAATCTAAAAGGGATTTAAGTGGCATTCTACTTTTATAAGCTTCTTGATTCTTGTAGTTGTTAGAAGGTAAATTAGCCCGCCCTCTCCTTTGGGCTTTCCCTTTATTGCCTTGTTCTCCTATCCTCCGTTGAATATTTTTTTATCAAAGAAAATGTACAACTCTTCTGAAGCTAATCAACTTGCATACAACTTTGTATTCCTTTCTAAACAATCACATAGAACACACCATTCCCATTTGTCAGGGGAGAGACTACTCCTCTCTTGAGGAGATTGTTGATTTTATGAGCTCTTTGAATTCATAGGCTCCGTTTTGTCTTTGTATAGTTTGGGTCGCATTCCCCTTTTTGAACGCTTTTAATACAATTTACTTATCAAAAAAATAAATAAATAAACAATACCATGTATTGGAGGGAAAAATATATATAATGTGCGAGATAGTGTCTTCCCTAATACACCAAATGGTTGTCCTTTCCCTTATATTATATGAAACAGAATATACAAGCAGAGTATGCAACATCTTATGACAAGTTATGGCTGGATAAAAGATTATAGTTCTAATTCCAAAGGAAGTTAGAAAGATATTCGAGTTCCATTGCAAACAAGTTCCGAACCCTAAATTCCAAGGAAAAAAAAAAATTGGAATTCAAATGCAGTGCATTATTTGTAATTTATGTCAAACCCTAAATTCAAAACTTATGGAAGAAGTCCACTAACATGGTAATAAAGAAAAATCATCAAATTGCAGTATAGTAGTACAAAAATACACCAAGAACAACAAATCACACACTATGCAAAACATGTAACTTACCAATCAACGGACGATGACACGATGTCTGAGCCATCTAACACAATGCCGGTGACTTGCAACTGATGACCCTTCAGTGTCTGCACCTTCTCTCCACTTGTCAAGTCCCAAACTATAACAAGAGTGTCCATTCCACCGGACACAATTCCTCCACCTGGAAACTCCTCATTCGGAGGAACCCAAGCCAGTGGTCCCACGAAACTGGTATGCCCCAACAGTATTTTCGAAGAAGTATAGACGCGATTGTTTGATGGATCTAGTGACCAAAACCTAACAGTTCTGTCTCTCGACGATGTAGCAATCCCGACATTGTCACAAACGCATATACCACGAACCTAATCATGGATAATTCAGAATCAAGACTGGTAGTGTTTCACTATGTACAAGTCGATTAAGTTGAAAATGAACAATCATAGCATTTGTAAATTCACAATTGAAAGTAAGACAAAATTGATTATCCACATAAGGTATTAGATATTATATGTGTATATATATATATAGGGGGAGAGAGAGAGACGGAGAGGTTATTACATCATCTTCGTGACCTCGAAGTTCACAGCTCAATCGATACTCTGCGAAGTCGATCTCCATAACTATAGAGGAAAAGAGAGCCTTCTTTTCCTCTTTTTGTGAGAGGGATGCTAGGGTTTCTACTAGAGATGGGTTCTGAGAGAAAGACTAATAGAGGGTTTTAGGACGAACACAACGGAAAAGACAATCACAGGCCGGTGATTGGTATTTGTACTTCGCAATTGCCAACGAGCATCGGCTACGTTTCTTGATCTTCAAGTTGGTTGTCGATACGTCATATTGACCCACATGGACCCAAATGGTTCAGAGCAAAATTTAATACACTACTTTTGTAATTTACTAATTGGAAAATGATATTCAGCCCTTGAATGACTCTCGATGGATTAACTTTCACAAATACGTTCAACTAGTTGGCTGAATCTTATAATTCTTAGTGTCTTATGGCACAAAAAAAAATCATTTTAAAAGATAAATCTGTCGAACCAGCCTTTGGTTTGAATTTTTATGAATTTTGTTCCCATTTTGATTCCAAAATTAAGAATTGTTAATTTTCGGTTCTGATTATTGGGACCAAATGGTAATCTAAATATATATTACTTATAAAAGTTTAAAGCTACTTTTGCTCTGAGGAATGGAAGAATTGGGGGAGGGGAAGTAATGGACGATACATCATAAGAAAATGAATGATTTTTCTCAATTTTTGTTTAAAGGTTCGTTTCGTTAGCATGAAATAGATAGAAAGGAAAAGAAATAGAAAATTTTTAAATTTGTTAGGAGTTTGGTTAGCTGAGAAAATTTTTAGGAAATAAATTTCTCGCAATAGCTTAATTTTTCTCAAAATGTTCGTCGCCAAAAACACAGGGAAATTTTACTTTCCCGTCAAAGTGGTGCCTTTATATCTTAATTTCCTATTATGCCCATATCACTTTCTCCACAATTCCCTTTTATTGTAAATTCTTTATATAATAATGTAATACTATTTTAATTGTATATAGTTTTATATGTGCATACAAAATTAAAATTTTATTATATTTTTTTCTTTCCATAGTTAATAATGATTTATATATATATATATATATATATATATATATATATATATATATATATATAATCTAAATATTTAAGAGCAGAGTGTTAGGTAAAAAATTAGAACTAGTGTCTCTACCTAAACAATTTACAATTTAATTCGTACATATACTTTTTTTATACATAGACTTCTCTCGATTTTAGGACTCTAGGTAATTAGATGTACCAAACTAATTTAATTTTAATTCTACATATATTAGATGTATCAAACTAATTTAGTTAAAGTATTGTATTTCGTTTAGACTCAACTTTTTTTTTTTTTCTATGACTAAAAATATATATATTAACTTCAATCTTTTTTCCTAAATATTTTTCGGAACAAAATTTTTTATTAATTAAACTTGTATCTATAATCACATATATAAAATTATTAAATATCAGTTTCATTGTTTCATTTTGAACTTAAAATTTTAATTTTGTTCATAATTCAGAAGATAGGTAATGTCTCAAAAGAATACAAAGTAATCATATAACTAAAAGGGTAGTTTTGGTAACTGTAATTACTTTCTTTTCATTTTCATACTTTCCAAACTCACAAAATAATATTTCTCATAACTTTTTTGAAAAAAATTCTTGCTAACCAAATGCATGATAGAAACTTGATTTCCTTTTCCTTTCTTTCACTTTCTTTTACTTTCACTTTTCATCGTAACTTTTCGTCTAACCAAACGGACCCTATAGATAGAAGAAATGATGGATGTAGTGATATCTTCTTCTTTTTTTATATATATTATTTTTACTAATATATCATTAATTATATATAATTAATAAAAATTAGACATTCATTTCAAATTATGCAACATGGTTAAAAATAGAAATTAAAAACTGGTTGATTATTATCCTGTTTATCTTTTCTCTTCCCCCCAATTTTTGGCGGATCGAAAATTACAAGAGAACCTCTTTTCCCTTCCCTTCAACTAAACACAAAAAACTTTTTTTATCCCCCATTTCCTCCATCCCTCCTCAATCCTTCCCTCCAACCAAACATAGCATAAGGGTTTTTCTTATTTCCAAACTTTTTCATTTTTTTTAAAATACAAAAAATTGTCCTTCAATAATTTCCAACCTTTTTTTATCAATTATAGTTTTATTTGTAATACTCTACTTTTATGGATTAATTACATAGATCTCCCATGTGGTTTGCCATAATTATAGGGACCTTCCTTATAGTTTGGGATATTACTCAGACTTTCCCTAAAAAGAAACAAACATACACGGACCTCCCTTCTTAGTAACGGACCGTTAAGTGCACTAACGGACCTGTCTAATTTACTGAAATGCCCTCTACTTTTTTTCAATATAAACTTTCACATCCTATTCTGTTGCACAACTTACAAGTGGTATCAAAGTCATCCTCTACATATTGAGTTGATCCTTATGGAAGGTTTTTTTTTTTTGAAAAAATAAAATTATTTTTGTTTTCAAAAATTCATGATGGAAAATCCTATGAATAAGGGTGAATTTGATCTTATTTTTTATGGTTTAAGCTCTGATAAGGAACTTTCTCGTTTATCTAAAAGATATGGAAGACTACTTAAAAATAGAAAGAATAAAAATTGTAGTAAAGGAGATTCTTCTAAATTCAAAGATAAGAAAAATAAGAAAGATGTTTCTAGTGCTTTTTTTGCTCATGTTGATAATGTTACTGCTAATAATTCTTCTTCTTGTGTAGGAGATTCTACCAAATTTGGGACATTGAGCAAGGTTGGTTCTTATGATTCGGATGATAATAAAATTAAAGAAAAACCAAGTGAAAACAATACGTTTAAATTTTTTGAGGCAATGTTAAAGGCTAGTTAGTTACAGTCTGAGGAACTAGAGTTGATAAAAAAGGAGAATGATACCTTGAAGAAGGAGAATGAGCAAAACATAAATTGCTTAAGGAGAACAAATTTGAAATTCAGAATCTTCAAGGTAAAGTTAAAATTCTTGAGAGCGAGATAAGTTAAGCTAATTCTGCTAGAGAATCTCTTGTTGCCAAATTTAATTTTCTTGAGCTTGAATTAAAAAATCACAAGAGAAATTAATTGATTTTACTTCTTGACAAATTAAACTTGATAAGATGATTAGTGTTGGTAAGCATATAGGTGATAAAACTGGATTAGGTTTTATAGAGGATTTGTCTAGTAAGAAGGATCAAACTGTTTTTGTTAAACCCAAGAACTTGAATGTGCCTATTGTTAAGCCTAAACTTTTTGTTGAGCCTATGCATGCAAGTGTCACATGTGCTTTATTGTTCTTATTATGGTACATTATTGTTATAAAAGAAAATGGGATAATTCTTGTTTTGATTTTCATGGTTATAATTCATTTGCACAAAATAGATTTCATGCTAGAAAGCAAAATAATTGGAATAAACCTAGAAATTTTTGTATTAAAAGAAATTCACATAAGAAAAAGAATGTCTTTGATGTTCCTCAAAAATCTCTTCAAAAGTTGAAGGTGAAAGTTGTTTAGGTAAAGAAAAAGGATTTAAAGTTGTATATGCCCATTAATGTTATGGAATTTGTTTCCAATTGGTCATTGGGTGCAAAACCCCCAGAGTAAATCCTAAAAAGTCTTTTGTTGTCATAACTTATCAAAAAAAAAAAAAAAAAGTCTTTTGTGGTCATGGATTGGGTTTTGATGTTGATCTTGTTTCCATTGGACTATATCTTGTAGTTTAGAATTTAGGTTTTGTTTTCATGAGAAAGTGATGATCATGTTTTTCTTGTCAATACATGAGTGATAATTATTTCTCTTGAATTCATTATTTTTAAATGTGAATTGGGGACACATGATTAATTAATGAAAAAGGTTCTTGAAGTGTAATCTATATGTTGAAAGACAATTTGTTTTTTTTATTCCTTTTTAGAGATGAGTCTTTTGAGTTCATATTTTTAATGTGCACTAGTCCAACTTTGAGAAAATTTAATTGAAAATCATTGTGAAGTTGATTAGGTCATATTGCTCATAAAAGTTATAAAGGTTATTATTATTATTTTTTTTAAAATAAAGCATAAATATATATGAAAATTTTCAGCATAAAAAAAAAAATTCAATATATTTAACTCAAAACTTTCATTTTCTTTCAAAGATTTAATCTTTATACATTAAAAAGATCTACAGACTTAAAAGGTACCTTGATTGAGATATTTTCATTCCAAGATTCAATCTTTACTCATTAAAACACTCTTTGTGACTAGAAAATGAGCTCAAATAAGTTTAACTAAAAACTCACCTTTTCTTTTAAAGATTCAATCTTTATACACTAAAAAGCTCTAGTGACTTAAAATGTACCATTATTGAGGTATTTTCATCCAAAGATTCAATCTTTACTCATTAGAACACTCTTTGTGACTTCAAAGGAAACTCGAATAAGTTTAACTCAAAACTCTCATTTTCCTTCAAAGATTCAATATTTATACATCTCAAAGGTCTAGTGACTTAAAATGTACCTTCATTGAGGTTTTCATTCAAAGATTCAATCTTTATTCATTAAAACACTCTTCATGACTTCAAAGGGAACTCGAATAAGTTTAACTCAAAGAATGCTGAAAATCTTTGCTAATGAAAAAAGCTACCTATTGAGATTAGGTCGAAAGCTCCTACTAGACTTTGAAGAGGAGCTAATTGAGTAAAAATAAAGGAGGAGATAAGTCGAAATAGGGAATTGTTGTCTATTCTTTAGAGTGAAAGCCGCATTGCTTAGTAAAATTTGCTCAAAACAATTTTATCTTGATACTTTTCAATCAATATGATTTAGACAGTTGGTCAATATGATTTGATTGAAATTTGATGAGGTTGGATTGTGCACACATACATATGAACTTGCTAGGAGAATTTCTAAATTTTTATAAAAATTGCAAGTTGAATTTCATGTTATGATTGCATGCTTGAGAATGATTTGATTGAATAATTTGTGGTGTCTAAAAAATTTCATGTTTTTAAAGTCTCTTAAATTCTTCAGAAATTTTTGGATCTCATGTATGCTTAATATTCATGAAAATTCCAATTTCATAATTTTTGTTCAAATATCAGGAAAAAAAAAATTAAAAAATCCAAAAAAAATTTCCTTTTAGTTTTTATTAGGATTTTTTTTTTTTTGATTGGATAGTGATATCCTATCTCAATTTGTTCTTTTTTTCTTTTTATGCATGGTTTGTTAAATTCTTACAAAAAGGGGAGAATATGTGCTTCATGTTTAAGGGGGAGATATCATATGTGATTTTGAGAATGATTGGTTCCATTTATTTTGTGGATGGAACTTGTGTTATCTTGGATTT